AGAGAGAGAGAGAGAGAGAGAGAGAGAGAGAGAGAGAGAGAGAGAGAAAAGTGATGTGCTCTAAGTAATATGAAATCTGGAAGATAACAGAGATCAGAGTACCGTCCTCATTGCCAGGAAGAGCTCAGTAATACCAACAACAAACATTGATAACTAACATTTATATAATGCTTCAAAGTTTGCAAAACTCTGTAAATATGTTACTTCATTTGGTAGCTGAAGAGCAAGGATCCATGGCTTGAACTGCCATGGTTCTAGCCCTGCCTCCCCCTAATATCTTATTGATGGGCACACCCTTTGTTCTCCCAGAGATGATTCCACCATGCTCTCACATTTAAGAAGTAAGCATGTCATAGCGGGTGTTATTATTCGTCCTTCGTTTTCAAAGAGGACCGCTGAGGTCATGGGGGTGATGTCTTGACTTGTGCATGAATTGGATTTAAGAGAGGCAGAGTTGCACAAAATCATAAGCCTCACTCTGTCTTCCAGGGTCATTGAAGTCCAGTGGCAAGACAAAAGTCAGGATGACTTCACCTGCCTTCATGGCCATAGGTACAAATTGTCCTAGTCCACCCATTCCTCTGGGAGAAGAGTGGATAGAGCACCGGACTTAGGAAGACCTAAGTTGGAATCCTTCTTCAGACACTAGCCTGGGCAAATCATTTAATTTCTGAGTCTAAGTTTCCTCATCTGTAAAATGGGGATAATAACAGTAGTTATCTCACAAGGTTGTTGGAAGGATCAAGTGAGGAAATGTATTTAAAATATTTTGCAAACATTAAGGTACTATATAAATGTCAGCTAACATTGTTATTGTTCCTAGACCTCTGTGATCTCAGCTCCCTTAAGAGATAGATGCAATTTTTGGTCTGTTTCTTGGACTAACTTTTGCCTTCTTCCCAGATGTAGGTGGCCCTGCAGATCCTATTGCCCCGACCATCATCATCCCTCCCAAAAATACCAGTGTAGTGGCTGGGACCTCAGAGGTGACCATGGAATGTGTGGCGAATGCCAGGTCAGTAACCATCTCCCCTGTTCCCTCCTCCCCACTGCCCTTCCAAATTTCCTATGTTCCTCATCATGGTTGGCTCCACTGTTCTTTTTTTTAATTTTTAATTAATTTATTTTGAATTATCAACAATCACTTCCATAAGCTTTTGAGGTTTAAATTTTTCTCTCCTTTCCTCCCCAAGATGGTGTGCAATCTGATATAGGCTATACATATATATTCCTATTGAACATATTTTAATGTTGTAGGTAAGAATTAGAACCAATAGGTGACGCCACTGTTCTACTGGACACTCTTGATCTGACGCTAATTGATGTCTCTTTTCTATGCTTCTATTAATCTATTATACATGTCTCTGAATAGCCCAGAAGGGACTAAAACAAAGATTATGGAAAACCAGAGTCTGAGAGGCCTCTGTAAACAGGATGGGGGAAACGGGCATTTTGTGGAAAGAGCTCTGAAATTTACTAGATATGTGGTCATGATTCAATCAACTAACCTCTCTGAGACTCATTTTCCTCATTGAGGAGTGGAAATAAAAATATTTTGTGGCTCAATGAAAAGAACATGAAATAAGAGGTCTTAGGTTCAAAATCTGAACTCTGCCACTTACTATATGACCTTAAGAAAATCACTTCTCTTAGACCTCATTTGTAAGATGAAGGTATTGAATGAGATGACCTCTAGGGTGATTTTCCTATGATCCTGTCTCCCAAGATTGTTGTGAAGATCAAATAAGATAATGTATGTAAAATGCCATATCCACATCAAAAGAAAATACAAGGAAAGACATTTTGGGGTGGAGAGAGAACTGGGCTGATCTGGCACTGGTTCTTTATTTGTTGGCTATGTATGTGTATTTCACTCTACGGATTTGTGTGTGTAAGTTCCTGTATCTCTTTTTCTGTTTCTGTGTGTCTCACCTTTGGTGTGTCTTTCCTATTTATCCAGGTTTTTCGTGCCTTCTCGTCTTCCCCTCAATTCCCCTCCCTTCCCTTCTCCATATTGAATGAGTTGGAGCGTACGGGGAATAGAGAGGGAAAATAGGAAAGGGAAATATCAGGAGACAACTTTTAAGATGCTTAACTGAATTTTAAAAGTCCAGTTCTCTCAAGTACAAATTACTGCATAACCGATGCAGATTTATGCAAATGAGCCTCTCTTTTTCCCTTGCCTCCTGCCAGGCCCCTGATCAAACTGCATATCATTTGGAAGAAGGATGGGGTGCCAGTGTCAGGGGGAATCAGTGACCACAACCGACGGCTCACTATCCTGAATCCCAAAGGCAGCAACACTGGCTACTATGAATGTGAGGCTGTCCTACGCAGCAGCAGTGTCCCTTCTGTGGTCCGGGGTGCTGTCCTTTCTGTGTTGGGTGAGTACACAGCATGGAGATGGGCTGGGAATAAGGGTGGGCAGGAGGGAGCACTCCACCGGCATCACAGCACCCTCTTAGCCTGAAGCATGGGGGAGCAGAAAGGGGCAGGGTAACTTCCCATCTATCAGGGGTTCCTACTGAGTGGCCAACCCAAGAGGAGCCAGGCCTCCAATGCTGTCTTTTTCCTTCTCCCCCTCCCAGAGCCACCCCAGTTTATTAAGGAGCCAGAGAGACACATCACAGCAGAGATGGAAAAGGTGGTGGACATACCCTGCCAGGCAAAAGGTAACGGTACATTGGGAGGAAGAGGAAGAATATCACACCTCTCCCCGCTCCCCATTGTGGGTTGAATTGTTCCATTGCTGAATTGTGTCTGCTGCTCCGAGGTCCCCCTGAAGTGGACATATTACTAGGAAAGAAATCAATCTGGCCGTCAGCAGGCACCTAGGAAAACAAAGAAGCCAAATTACCGTAATTTCAGGGCTATAAATCAATCCAAGTTATGGTAACTTCAGGGTTACAAATGAGCCAAAATTACCGTAATTTTGAGGCTACTGACAGCCAAATTGCCCATAATTTCAGAGTCGCTGACAACGCCAAATTACCATAATATCAGAGCTACACTAGTCAAGGGGGGAAAGCACCAGCATTAGGTGTGTCTACTCTAAGATATAGCTCATAGAGCAGCACTTGGGTTCTTAGCCATTCTATTCAGTCACCAAGACAGCATTCTCCACTTTCCTACCTCTTCTGTCTTCCTCAAGTTAATGATGAATTCTCACACTGTTTTGGTTCCCAAATCTCCTTTCCTTCTTTAGATGTAGCTAAATCAAAAGACAATCCAAAGGCAGATAGGCTTTATAAGACCATACAAAAGGCATAGTGGTAAGGCGCAGTGTGTGCTATTGATAATATTATGGTATTGAACAAAGAACTAGGCACAGCTTTTCCCCAGTGGAATGATAGGCAAGTGAGAGATGCAGATATGGAGAGGCACTGCAAATCCGCAGCAGAAAGGCTTAGGAAGAGAAAGGAGAAAACTGTGAGTGAATTGGGGGGGGGGGGGGGGAAGAGAGAAAATAGGGCAATACCAGCTGCATTCAGACTGTATAGGAATAGACTTGGACCACCAAAGGTATTTTATATTTAGAAATAAGGAAGGGGCAACTAGGTGACACAGTGGATACAGTGCCAGGCCTGAAGTAAGGATGAATCAACTTTGTGAGTTCAAATCTGGCCTCAGACACTTACTAGCTGTGTGACCCTGGGTAAGTCACTTCACCCTGTTTGCCTCAGTTTCCTCATGTGTAAAATAACCTGGAGAAGGAATTGACAAACTGCTCCAGTATCTTTCACAAAGAGTAAAACACCACTGAAAAATGACTGAACAACAACAGAAGAAATAAAGACTCTGGGCCAACTCAATTCCAAATCTATGGGATTCAAATTCCGTCTTTCCTCAGATGTCTGCCTGATGTTCCACCCATATTCCTATATAATCATTGGCTACCACCTTTGGGAATAAAAAAGTGTTGCATTGTCTCCGAAATAGAATAAAGCATCCATCCAGAAGTACTATAAGCCAAAAATGTTTCTAGGTGGTACAGTCTTTATAGCACTGGACCTAGAGTCAGGAAGACAGGAGTTCAAACCTGGTCTCAGACACAGCCTAGCTGTGTGACCCTGGGCAAGTCACTTAACCTCTGTCTCAGGTTCCTCAACTATAAAATGGGGGTAATAATAGCACCTACCTCCCAGGGCTGTTGTGAAAATCAAATAAGTTAATATTTGAAAAGTGCTTAGCACAGTGCTTGATATATAATAGGAGCTTAACTAATGCTTATTTCTTTCCTTCCTTCCTTTCTTCCTCGAAGGCTCCATATGAGGAGGTAGTATGGTATAAGGAAGGAGTATGGACTCTTCTTGAAAGAACCTTGTTCAAACACCACTCCTGGCATTGACTATATTATGACGATAGATAAGTCACTGAATCTCTTGGAGCCTTAGTTTCCTCATCTATAAAAAAGGAAACTTCCAGAATTTATAAAGGACCAAATGAGATGATATATATAAAGTCAATATAAAAATAAAAATGTATATAAATGTATATAAAATCAATTTGCAAACATTCAAGTGGAATGTGTATGTGTGTGTGAGATGAAGGGGTAGGAATTTGGCCTCTAATTCCATCCAGGGCTGACCCATTTGATGAAATCACAGAAGGAGTAGAAATAGGAAGGCATTAATATGTTAATGAAGTGCAAAGGGGGGTCTACATCCTGTTATGCCTTCATGAAGTGTGAAGAGCTGGAATTCCTGGTGTAATTAGAGCTGAATATTTATTGGTTATACCCCTGGTGGCCCTTAAAAAGCAAGCTCACCAGCACTGAGGCACGGAGCAGCTTTGTGGAATGTGACTCCTGAACCCCGACCAATGGGCAAAGCAGATATCGTCTTCTGTCCTTCCCTCTCCTTCCCCCAATCAACTGTGAGATATTGAAGCAGAGCTGCTCATCCAGGAGATATCACATCCAGCAAGAAGAAAGAATCTTAGGGTAAAAGGCAGCTTCAAGGAGCATGACCCCTGGCAACAGAGAAGAGAGCAAACCAATTCAAGGGAATTAGCCCTGGCAGTTGGGAGCTGAGCTATGGAGAAGAGCAGGTCCAGGGTGTCCGACTGAATGACCTTCCCAGCACAAACACTGTGCCCGGGGAGAGAAGTATGAGGACACCACAAGAAGAAAGAATGTTGGGACCCAGAAGTTTCAGAGGCATGAATTGACTTGGCCCCATGTGATCCCTATATATGTGCCTCACTACCAGCAAACTCTAAGTTTGTGCCTACAGTTCCTACTGAAATTATGTGCATTTGTAGCAGCACACCTGAGGTTTACAGAGAGAATGGTTTATAGCTAATCTTCTTATTTCTTACTATGCCTTCCAAATGCCTTGTTTTGTTCTATTTGTATATATGGACTCATAGTTAAAGGTAAGAGCACCAATGGGGGCTTATGTTATAAATTATATAATTAGTTATAACTATTATATACTACATAATTAATTATATAATAAGTTACAATTTTAGGATTACAAACCCATAGAGTACCTTTGAACCTGCGCAGTAGTCACCCACTTGAGAACCTAACTCCTAAGTGGAAGTATAGCTTACAGAGGATATGCTGTAGTTATTGCTGTCTCCATGTAGGTGTGCCATCTCCTGTCACCACCTGGTACAAAGATGCCACTGTCATTGATGTGAAGAAGCTGTCAAGGTTCCGACTGCATGGAGATGGGAGCCTGCAGATCAGTGGACTGGTGCCTGATGACACAGGCATGTTTCAATGCTTTGCCCGAAACTCGGCTGGAGAAGTACAGACTTCCACCTACCTTGCTGTCACCAGTAAGTTGAGCTGTGGGAGAGGGAGAAGGGAAGTCTTAGTTTTTCCAAAGGTGAACAGCGCGCTTGAGAAAAGTTTAACATATCATGTCGTCAACATAGACACCCTCAGGTTGGACTCCTTGGACAACCAAATCATTTGTGCAGTGGCTTGTATAATAACCTAAACTTGAGAGGCAGTATGATATAGTGGACCTGGAATAAGGAAACCTAGGTTTGAATCCCAGATCTACCATTTACTAGCCATGTAACTATGGGCAGGGCATTTGACCTCAGTGCCCTCATCTGTGAAATGTTCATAATATTTGTACCCTCTACCTCTCCAGGTTGTTGTTCAGAGAACACTTTTTAAACTGTAATGCACTGCATAAATGTGGAATGTTATTTTTATTTTGACATAAATTGCTAAGCAGTATTGCTGCCCCATTCCCAATTTTCATCACTGAGGAAGTATCTAATCCCTTAAAGTTCACTCCTAGATGTTCTTTCTTTGTAGGGGTTTACTCACATCTGTTGGAAGAGGTTGCCCAATGTAGGCCTCAGGCTATAGGATTATATAATCCTACCTCTGCTTAATGAGGCAATTTGTCCATTCCCTCCTCCATACCCCATTTTAGACACCATATTTTATTTTGAAAATAAGATAGTGTTGTAAAATTTGAAAGAGAGCTGACCTGAGAGTCAAGAGAGATGAATGAGTACCAACTTGGCCATTTACCTGCCATATGACTTTGGTTAAATCACTTAAACATCTCTGAGTCTCAGTTTTCCGATCTGTAAAATGAAGAATTTGGTCTATATGATCTCAAAAATTTTATAGTTCTATGAAAACACCATTCACTGGCTTCCTTTGACAACTCATTGCAGTATTTACCACCTGAAATGTTACAGCAATGCATCTAGATGTCAATGGGCAACACTCCATTGACCGCAAGGAATCCAGGAAGGAGAACATGGTTTTGTTCAGAGATCTCGGCATACTGTTTGCTGACAATGAAAACGTGTTGGGTCTTGGCTTCCATTTATCCTTGACCATGTTGTTAGCCTGGCCCTGATTTTAGAGAGGGAAAGGAGCTCATTGTTCCCTCTACATTCCACCTCCAGCCTCCATAACTTTGTACAGGCCATTCTCCGTGTCTGAAACAGTCCCTCCTCACTGCCACCACCTCATGAAATTGTTAGTTACCTTCAGGCTCACCTTGGGCATTACATCCTAGGTGAGGTCTTTGCTGATATCCCGGTAGCTGTTAGAGCATCTCCTCTTCCAAAATTACTTTGTTTGATCGATATATAGATATACATATGCATATATATGTGTGTATTTATATGTATTACATATACTTTGAATTTGCCTCTCTGTATGTATATGTTTGTGTGTCTATATATACACATAGACACACACACACATTTGCTTCTCTGTGTGTGTGTGTGTGTGTGTGTGTTATATTCCTATGATAGAATATAAGCTTCTTGAGGGCAACGGCTATTTCATATTTGTTTTTGTATCACCAGGTCCTGGCACAGTTCCTTGTATATAGTAGGTGCTTAATAAATGCTTAATGGATCAAATTAAAATGGATCAAATATGATCATGCTGATGATAAAACCACCCATTTACCTTCTGGGGAGAATCACAAATTTCTGCCCAAGGAAAAGACTTGAATGAAGCCAATCAGTTGACTGCTTGGAAATATGGTAGTTTTTACATTATCAGCAACAAGTATTAATTTTCATCATCCTAATAGACTTAAACACTTCAGTTATGCAGCAAACATTTATTAAGCGCCTATTGCATTCACTGAGCTAAACGAAAAAGTGAAACAGTGACATTTCAAAAGGTTCGAGAGTTATAACTTCTGAGTAATTTTATCATTTTATGAATAATGCCAGCATTTTAATAAAAGGATGGTCATTTGGCTGTCTCTCTGTTAGACCAAAGACAGTCATGGCAGTGGGCTCACAGCTTATATGCCCAGTGGAAGAGGGGTGTTTTCCGGGGTGGCAATCGCCTTTGACTGGTTAACAATTAATGGGAGAATGAATATTGCAACACAGTGCTAGACCTGAGCTTTGATTAAGTCATTTCTTTCTAAGTTACCCCCAGCCTTGGGCAGTCTATTCAAAAAATTTATCCACCCAAGCCTGAGTAGAAAGAGTTTCACCTTAGGTCTATTTGGGTGGAGTAGTAATATCCAGAATGAGGAGGATATTAATTCTATCTTCCATCAACCCTGTCCTTGAGAGATTGGACAAGGAAATAGAAAAGGGAAAAAAAAGCTGGGGTCTCCCCGGTTTTAATAATTGATTATTAATATGAAAGAGATAATCATTTCTCTCATGACGTTCTCCCAAATTGTCAAAAGATCTATGATTTCACCAGTATCCATATTATTGTATCAGTATCTCAATCCCTCCACCCCACTTCAATTTAAGATTCTTCATGAATTTCAGTGCCTCCCACATCAAAAAAAAAAAATATGTATTATCTATTGGACAGCTTTTCAAAGATAAACTTCTCCAGGCTTAGGTCAGCTAAGGTTGAACCACATAAGACATAGTCCATTACCAAATGGTTGATCCATTCAGTTTAGTCGAACTTGCCAGAGTTTGCCCTCGGCCAGCGTAGTTTTTTGAGAGCCAGGATCAATGGTACGTGACAATGAAGTATTCATTGGAAGATGAGGTTAGTGAAAGAGTAACAACAATGACAATAATAATAACAATAATAATAAATTTCAATTTACATATGATTAACAGTTTCTCACTGTTGTGAAGAACATAATGAAAATTCTGTTGGGGTGAGTTTGTCAGTTATAATGCCAGGTCTTAAGTGCCAGGGGAGGTCTGGATCTTTCCCGTTATTGGGGCCTGTGAACAAATAGGAGAAAATGATTGATATCATTCATTTTCCTGGCAATGAACCTCAACAGGGAAGGTTAACTAGAAAGGCATTGGGTAAACTAGAAAAAATGTGTTTATTTCAAAGGTTATTGGGATATGTTAGTGTGGATTTCCTGCTTCTCTGCAAAGGAACCAGGCAACAGTACCTAATATGATGCATTGCATGAATAAATGTTTGTTGAATGAATGAGTGAAATAACAAAATGGGAGGGGGCAAACGGGAGATTGTCTGCTTAGGGCTTAGGGTCACTACTGTCCCTCAGCCAGGGGGAGCCCAAATGGAGTCTTACTAAGGAGTTTGTCCGTCTCTTTCCCAAGGCATTGCCCCCAACATCACCAGAGGCCCGTTAGACAGCACAGTGATTGATGGCATGTCTGTGGTGCTGGCATGCGAGACATCTGGGGCACCCCGGCCAGCTATCACTTGGCAAAAAGGTAAAAGAGATGATATTCAGGAGGGGCATATGGGCAGTGGGTTATAGTAACAAGGGTATAAGACTGAGGCTTTCAAGACTTGGATTCTAAAATTATGGCTCTGTAGTTATCAATCTTTGTGACTTGGGGCAAATCATTTCAGCTGTCTGGGATGTACCCTAAGGGCTCCCGAGCCCTGCCACTGTACCTGCAGGACCACCAGACCTTACTGGCTTTCCTGCAGTTGAATTCTGCTCTGTGTGTTCTCTCCTTCAATTAGAATATGAGCTCTCTGAAACGAGATTGTCTTGCTTTTGTATTTATATCCCCAGCACTTAGCATAGTATTTGGCACATAGTAAGCCCTTAATTAAAACCTTTTCTCATTCATATACAAATCTATTCATGCACATCTACCCAGGGATACTTTATTTTATATCCAACCACACATGGATATTTGCATAAGCAAATACGTTCCCGGATATGCACACGTACAGGTACACTCATAAAGGCAGGCAGAGATAACCTTAGGGCAAGTCAGCAAGACTTTAGGTCTCCCTTGCCAAAGAACATTTCCCAACCTGTCCAGGGCCATCATCTCTACTTCATCCACTTGTCCCCTCCTTCCCAATGCTTCCGTCTGCTTGTCCCATCATCCAAAGCTTAGGCACTTGTCCAAGGTGACTTTTTCCTGAAGCATCCAGCTTCAAGATGCCCATCATCAACTCATCAAAATCATTTGCTTCTACCTGATTCGCAGGTGCCAGCTGCTTCTGCGCTCTCTGTGTTTGTGAGAGACTGAGAAGGAAGGTGCTGGGGCCTGAAGGCAGTGATGGAATCTAGAATTTGAGCACCGGAGCTTAGGAAAGAATGAGAAATATTTATCTATTAAGAAGCAAGTGCTGTATAGTAGACACAGCACTGAACTGGACGTTAGAAGACCTGGATTCTTGTCTTCACTTTACCATTAACTAGCCATGTGGCCTCAAGCAAATCATTTTTCCACATTTCTAGGCCTTAGTTACCTGATCTATAAAATGAAACTAGATAAAGATAATTTCTAAGGTCCCTTCCAGCTATGAGACTGTGAATCTGCAATTGACTGAGATGTTTCTGGAAGAGAAAGGCAAGATAGAGACAAACTAGGTATACAAAAAGAATATTAGGTCATCCTGCCCACAATCCACTCTCCTGCTATATTTCTCTCCGTGTCCTTCTCAATCTTGGGGTAGCCTGGCAGTGCCAGGAGAAATAGGAATCAGGGATCGTGCTGGCTGCATATTCTTCTGTATCTCCCTGCAGGTGAGCGGATCCTGGCTAGTGGCTCCATCCAGTTGCCCCGCTTCACTCTCCTGGAGTCTGGCAGCCTGCTTATCAGTCCCACCCGTATCTCAGATGCTGGCAGTTATACATGCTTGGCCACCAACTCACGGGGAGTAGATGAGGCATCAGCAGATTTGGTCGTGTGGGGTAAGTTGGCATTTGCAGCTAATAAGAATGAAAAGTGTATATATGTATCCTATGTGAATCCACACACACAACGGACATACACAAATATATACCTATAGACCTCCCTCTCTCAGTACACATGATCATATGGGGTTCTTACAGATGCAGTCAAAATCTCTACCTTTGTAAATGTTTTTGATCTCAGGCGCCCCATTTTTTTTAAGGAAATTGACAAATTAGAATGGGTTTTTAATGGAAGGCAACCAGGACAGTGTTTGGTCTGAAGCCAATGTTATGTGATAAATAGTTGAAGGGACTGGTAATGTTTAGGACAACCAGAAGCTCCCAGGCAACATGTACAGTGAAAAAGGTAAGAAGATACAAGTAAAATGTGTTAGAATATTGCTTCTCTGGGGTACATGCCTGTCAAAAGAGGGTAAGCTTGATGCTTAAGTCGTGCAAATCAGTGTGACTTAATAACACCTAACATTAGCAGAGGTTAGACGTGGGAAGAAAGAGTGCAGCCAAACAGGCCTAAAAATAACATTCCCTGGAGCCCCTTAGAATTCAGAGCTCCCAGAAAAACAAAAACAGTGAAGAGGTCAATTTGTTGTGGCAATTATAGAGTGTCCTCATTATCTCTTAGATACATACACAGCTATACTCATCTAAGCAAGATAAATTAACCTTGGGGCCGGTCACTGGACTCTGTCTTTCCTGGCTAGGGCATCTCTCTTTGTCTCCAGACTTGTCATCTATGCTTCACTCTACTGACCCCTCATCTCCATCCCTTCCATTCTTTGTATGGCTCTCCCTTCATCTACAGCTGTACTTCACATTAAGAGAAGTAGGGACAAAGAAGTGTGGTCATGGGGCAGCTAGGTGGCGCAGTGAATAGAGCTGTGGCCTTGGAGTCAGGAGGACCTGAGTTCAAATCCAGCCTCAGACAAGTTACTTAACACTTACTAGCTGTATGATCTTGGGCAAGTCACTTAACCCCGATTACCTCACTAAAAAAAAAAAAAGAAGTGTGGTCTCAAAGAGAACTGTCCCGGTGACTTAGCAGGGATGGGTTGTGTGTATCTTCCTGCCTGGGGGTGATCAACAGTTATAGGTGATGTAAATACAAGCTGATTGTCCTGCTGGAGAAGAAGGTGAAAGGGCTCAAGGGGCACATCTTTATGCTTTGAGTTATTAGAGAAGACAAAGAATTCATATGCAAGATGAAAAAAATAATCTAGGGAAGTGGCCAGGTTAAAAAAAAAAAAAGATCCTGAGAAGGTTTTGAAGAAGGAAAACTAGTGATGGGGAAGTTTGGTATTGAGAAGAGAATGGAACAAAGGAGAAAGAGAAGAAAATACTCTGCACCACTGGAGAAAGCAAGAGTCTACTCAGACAGAAGGTGAAACTTGGGCTTTTGGAGAAGAGACAACCATTGGACTAAGAGGAGGCAGAAGGTGCCTCCATGACTCTTACTCAAGGAATAGAGAAGTAAGACACGAGATTGCGGGTGATGACTTCCCATGGAGAAGATACATGTATCAGCTCATATGAAGACATGGATGAGTAGGTCAGATGATAGTGCTGGGGCAGGGGGCCTTCAGGCCATAGAAGCAGGCCACATGATAAGGCCTGAAAGACCTTAGGAGGTAGTGGCAGGGTCAATAATAAGGGCTCCTGGTCCTCCATCTCATCAGAAGGAATGGAGTTGATGACTTCCAACTCATTCAAGCCCTGTGATTAGTCAAGTAGCCCTCTCAGGCAAGAGGGGAGAGTACCTCTGGGGGCAGGATGGCCTTGGGCTAGGGAAGAAAGCAAGGGAGGAAGAGAAACGAGAAAAATGCACACACACACACACACACACACACACACAAACACCCCCTTGGTTCTTCCCACTGCTCAGCTATCCCTGATGGATTCTGGCATAAGGATGAGGACTAATTTATGTGGAAATTAGGAAAACACTTGCAATTTCTTGTTAGTGACTTTGAGGTATTGGTTAAGAAAATAAAGCTTAGGAGGGCATAGGTGGAATTTTCATCTTCCAGTTGAAGTTCATAACATTTGAAAGAAAATGAAAACTGTTTTCAATGAGTGAGAACTCTTCTTTGGTTTACTCATTGATTTTTGGTGATTTTTTTCTCTCATTTTCTTTTGAGGCTTTCTATGGTTTTGCTTCTTTGCAGAGTTTCTATTGCTGTTTTTGAGAGAGATCTTGAGGGATTAGATTTGCTTCCTTTTTCTTCACTGTCATTCTAGAGAGAAGTTGTTAAACCAAAGGAAGATTGTAGGAAGTGAGCAGCTAAATAGCAATGAAAATGGGGGTCAAGAACAGGGTTTCTTTTTCTGGACCATATTGTACAATGGCAACCCCATGGGAATGTGGGGGTTCAATGTATCTCATAGAGAAGGGAAGACCTACTGAGTTAATCAGGAGAACTTAGAGCTGAAATTTGAAAGGGAGAGAAAGGGGGGGTAATGTCCAGATGAGCTGTCAATCTGGATACTAAGGAAACAATATTGTGTATTGGAAAGAGCTCTTCTGGGTTTGGAGACAGAGAATCAAATCCCAGCTGTGCCACTTAGGTAAATCACTTACCTCTCCTAGGTCTCAGTTTCCTACTTTGTAAAGTGAGGGTATTGAACTAGATGACCTCTAAGGTCCCTTCCACATCTTTAATCCTATTAATGATATCAACAGATGTAAAACTGGATCCCGTAAAGCCTAACACAATTCTTACTTAGAAGGTACATAGCATGTGAGTAGACCTCATTCTCCAATTGGTCAATTCCTCTCAGAACCTTCATGTTAAGGAAACTGCCCATAACAGCCACATTCTCTCCTTCAGTCCTCTCTAGACTCCATTCTTAACTCTCCAGGCTTCTTTCTCTACCATCTGGACACCTACACACACACACACACACACACACACACACACACACACACACATGCACTTTCAGATTCCATGTGTTGTCTTCCCCGTTAGAATGTAAGCTCTTTGAGGGTTTACTCCTTAAAGGACTGACTGTCTTTATGCTTGTACTTGTATCTCCAAGACTTAGTACAGTGCCTGGCACATTTTTTGTTTAGTCATTTTTCAGTCATATTCTACCCTTTGTGACCTCATTTGGGGTTTTCTTGGCAAAGGTACTGGAGTGGTTCGCCATTTCCTCCTCCAGCTTATTTTATAGATGAGGAAACTGAGGCAAACAAGGCTCAGGGACTTGCCCAGAATCACACAACTAATAAATGTCCGAGACTGGATTTGAACTCACTAAAATGAGTCTTCCTGACTCCAGGCCTAGCATTCTGTCCACTGCACCACCTAGCACCTGCCTGATACATCATAAGGGAATAATAAATGCTTATGAAAGTGACTTGACAAGTAAATAAAACAAAAAAGACTTATTCCTTCCCTCAGAGAGTCTATAATCTAACTGGAATTAGGTTGGCATTGATAATTACATAACCTCATATGTCTATGGATCAATGTCCAAAGTATGAGTAGCCAACAGAGTGAACTTAACATTTTAATATAAGAAAGCACTTTCATAGACATCCCTAAGGCTGGAAAGACTGTAATTCCTGACCATGATGTAGCAGTGTAAGGATCTAGACCTCATTCAAAAGAAATAGTTCTGACAGAAGGAGTGGGCGAGCAGGTACTTTCTGTCAGGAGGGTAATCTACACCTGTAAGGAAACCCACAAACCTGAGGGTAGACACTTGGTGGTGAGAATTAGGGGAAGGATAAGGAGGAACTGTCTTGAGATGTGAAATTGGCAGGCACCTTAGGAGAAAGTGACTGTGTCTGCTTAGAATTCATGATAGCAAAGGAAAGGAGTGCTGGCTAGAGTCAAACACATACCTTAGTATTTAGGAGAGAAGATTTCCAAAAGTTCCTAGCAAAGACAGATGTAGAGTCCTTGAAAGGAAATGTGGCTCAGGAAGGAAGGGAAGGGCAAAAAGTGGGAATTCTGACAAGACAATTACAAAGGATCCCAGTGAGGGAGGAGAGAGGGATGTGACTGAAGGGACTTCTCCAGCTGTGCAAGAATAGATTCATAGAAGCTCAGGTCAGGGTGAGAGGGGAGCAGGGCAGGACTCAGGCAGAATTGTGAAAGAGGCTAGTTATAATCAGAAGCCACCCACGGCTTTCCCAACCAGGATGTGATCCCCTCTGCAATATCTCTGACAAGTGGTCATTCAGACTCTGCTCGAAGTCTGCCTGTGATCGCTATCTCCCAAGGGAACCCTTGTATTTTTGGCCAGCTCAGCATCCTAGGGAGCTTTTCCTTTCATCAAGCTAAAATCTGCCTCTCGGAGCTGTCTACTCATTGCTCCTCAGACTACCCTCAACAGAAGAGCAGAACAGGCAGCTAAGTGTGGTGGGTCAGCTATGTGCACAGTGGGTCAAGTCAGAGTCAAGAAGACCTGAGTTCAAATCCAGCTTCAGATACTTACTTCAGATCCTCTGCCTGCCTTGGTTTCCTCATCGGGAAAATGGAGATAATAACAGCACCTACTTCCCAGGATTGTTGAGAGGATCGAATGAGGTGGTATTTGTAAAGACCTTAGCCCAGTGCCTGGAGCATGTTATTGTTTAGCCATGCCATTGTGTCTGATTCTTCATGACCCCATGGATCATACTGTCCATGGACTTTTCTTGGCAAAGCTACTGGATGGTATGCCATTTACTTCTCCAGTGTACTAAGGCAAACTAAGGTTAAGTGACTTGCCCAGGGTCACACCACTAGTAAGTATCTGAGGCTGGATTTGAACTCAAGTCTTCCTCACTGAGTCACCTAGCTGGACTTACCCAAGGTCATAGAGCTAGTAAGTATCTAAGGGCAGATTTGAATTCCCTGATTCCAGACCTGGTGCTCTATCCACTGTACCATCTAGCTGCCCCTACCTGGAACATAGTACTCACTTAATAAATGCTTGTTCCAGGACACCTAGGTGGTCCAAGGGATAGAACATTGGTCTTGGAGTCAGGAGGACCTGAGTTCAAATCTAAATGCAGATATTTACTAGCTGTGTGGTCCTGGGCAAGTCATTTCACCCAGGTTGCCCCCCAAAAAATTTATATTTTTTTTTAAAAATGCTTGTTCTGTTTCTTCCCTCCTCCCTTTCAGATAGCTGACAACTATCACATTTCCCCTAAATATTTACTTCCCCAAGCTAGACAGTTTAAACAACATGGCATGGTCTGTAGCCCCTTACCCTTTGGATGTCCTCAAATTTGTCAGCATCCTGCCTAAAATGTGGTACCTAGAACTATACACTGTATTCTAGATGGAGTCTCAAAGGCAGCATATCACAGGACTCCAGTCTTCCTCCTTCTGGACAATGTGCCAATCTTAATTCAGCCCAAGATCACATTAGCTCAGATTTTGAATGAACACATATTGTATGCACAAAAGGTGGAAAGAAGGCCATCTGACAAAGGATGAGTACAAAAGAATGTCATGGGTCTGTAAAAATAATATCATGGAGGTGAAGGCCCAGAATGAGCTGAGGTTTGCCAGGTATACTAAGGTTTTGTTTTTTAAAAGCCTTTTTGAGCTGCTTGGATTCAAAGTGAAAACAGGGAAGAGACAGGCTCAGTGTTTGGGCCAATCAGTGTAAAGATAAGAGAGAGCAGAATTCATTTCTTCACTTCTATTCTGTGGGACTCTGCAGAGGGACAGTGACAAACTAGCAGATGTCCAGAGGAAGAGACCTGCGTTCAAATCCCACCTCAAGACACTTCCTAGCTGTGTGACTCCAGGCAAGTCACTTAACCTTCCTCAGACTCAGTATCCTGTCTGTAAAAATCAGGATAACAATAGCACCCACCTAACAGGATTGTGGTAAGGATCAAATGAGATAACATATGTAAACCACTTTATTAAACTTTAAAATGCTATGTATTAGCTGTTGTTATTACTTTTTTTTTTATTTTGGAGGCAATTGGGTTAAGTGACTAGCCCATTTTACAGATGAGGAAACTGAGGCAGAGTTACGTGACTTACCCAAGGTCATACAGCTAGTAAGTATCTGAAGTCAGCTTGGAACTCAGGTCCTCCTGATTCCAGGGCCAGTGCACCGTCTGGCTGCCCCTGTTATTATTATAGTGAAGGGTCTAGAAGCCATGTTATGTGTGACAGTTGAAAGTTTGGAGAAGTTTAGCCTGTAAAGGAGGGCCACAATAGCTCTCCTCAGACATTTGAAGGTCTGGCATACAGAATGGGTACAACTTTACTCTGACTGTTTAACGCCAGCAGACAGAGGTATGCTGACCAAATAGAAGTCAGATAGAGGCAAAGAGACTCTTCAAATGTAAGGTATTCATGGGGGCAGCTAGGTGGTGCAGTGGATTGAGCACCAGCCCTGAAGTCAGGAGGACCCGAGTTCAAATCTGGCCTCAGACCAAACACTTACTAGCTATGTGACCCTGGGCAAGTCACTTAACCCCAATTGCCTTAAAAAGAAAAAAAGTAAGGCATTCTTATTATCATCATCATCTTCTCGACCACCATTATTAACTCAATATGAGGACAAATGTTCTGATAATTAGATCTGTCTGAAAATGCAAGGGGCTACTGAGAGAATTAGGGCAGCTATGTGGCACAACGTGTGCTGGGCCTGGAGTCAGGAAGAGTCTTCTTCCTGAGTTCAAATCTGGCCTCAGACACTTTCTAGCTGGGTGAGCCCGGGCAAGTCATTTAACTCAGTTTGCCTCAGTTTCCTCACCTGTAAAATGAGCTGGAGAAGGAAATGGCAAACCACTTGGCAACCAGATGGGGTCACGGAAAGTCGGACATGACTGAAAACGACTGAATAGTTACAAGAGTATGGTAGCCTTTCCTGATCCCCTTAGGTGTTAGTATTCTTTCCATCCTGAAATAATTACATACAACATTGACCTAGTTAAATGTTTTATCCCCAGGTAGGATATAAGCTGCTTGAGGGCAGGAACTCTGTTTATTTGTTTCATCCTTGTAACTCCAGTGCCGCCTGGCCCATGGTTGGTGCTCAATAAATGTTTATTATACCTGAATGGATTGGAGAAAGGATTCTTGGTTTGGGGTGGGAAGTTGGAAGGAAGGAGACAAGCATTTATTAAGCACCTACTATGTGCCAGGCACAATGCTAAGCATTTTACATATACTATCTCATTTGATCCTTAAAACAACCTTGGGAGATAGGTGCTATTTTTTTTCTCTTTTTTGACTAGGCAGTGGGGTTAAGTGACTTGCCCAGGGTCACACAGCTAATAAGTGTTATGTATCTGAGGCCAGATTTGAACTCAGGTCCTCCTGAATCCAGGGCCGGTGCTCTATCCACTGTGCCACCTATCTGTTCCAATAGGTGCTATTATTAGCCCTAATTTACAGTTGAGGAATTGGAGGGAGGTAGAAATTAGGTGACTTACCCAGGGTCACACAGCTAGTAAGTATCTGAGGCTGGATTTGAATGCAGGTCTTTCAGGCTCCAGGACCAGTGCTCTATCCCCTCTTCTTGTTAGCTGTCTCAGTTTCCCCACCTTTAATAGAGGGAATCATTCCTGCCCTGTCCTACCCCAGAAAGAACTTAGGAAAACAAAAATTTGTTGGTTGGGGCAGACAGGTATTGGTTTCATTTTTTTCCATTTAATTTAATTTTTGTTGATGAACAAAAATCTGTTTTTTTCTTCATTCCATTTCCCTCAATTGAAAAAAAAAGAAAGAAAAGAAAACCTTTGTAACAAATATGCATAGTCAAGGAAAATAAATTCCCACACTGGCCATGTCCAAAAAATATATGTCTCAATATACAGCAAGGAATTTGTAAGGATGGGTAAGATAAGATGAGGAAATAGTTGTGAAATTGCTTTGAAAGTAAAAGTAGTATATAAAAATGGTTTACTTATCCAAAACCTTGTGACTCTCATTACTTTAGCCCTTTATAGGCAGTATCCACAGACTATAGCGGTATCCATCCGTGTTACTCACCCACCCACCTGGCTCCGTCAAACAACACGTTCTCCTCTTTGTATCTTTTTGCATCGCTGCTCACTCCTGTTACTGCCTCTGCCTTTCAGCCCGGACGCGCATCACCATGGCCCCCCAGGACCAGAGCGTCATCAAGGGCACCAAGGCCTTCATGACATGTGGCGTGACCCACGACCCCAGCGTGGCTGTCAGGTACCTCTGTTGATGGCTGGGAGTGGGTGGGGTAAGACAAAACTCCAGGTGCAATGAAGTGACAACGTGGCCCAGACACCATAGGTGTCCTGTAGAATTAAAATGAAATAGTCATATCTCCAGTGGGGTCAAGCAATACCCATGGGGCTTTGAGTCTAACTCAGCCCAATGTTGAGCTCATAGTAAGCACTTAATAAATACTAATTGAGTTTATTTGAATTGAATCAAAAGGCACTGCATTTCACTGAAAGAAGGGAGGAAAGGAATAGGAGAGTAGGAAAAGAATAACAGGCGAAGTAGAAACAGAGGGGAAAAAAGTCTACCAGGTGGTGCAGTGGATAGAGCAAGGTGGGGAGGCGGGGGGGAGGTGGGGGGAGGCAGGGGGAGGGGGGGTGTCTGCAGTCAGGAAGACCTGAGTTCAAATCTAGCCTCAGACACTTACAAACTATGTGCCCTTGAACAAATCACTTAACTGCTGTCTGCCTCAGTTTCCTTATCCATAAAATGGGGATGATAATAGTACCTACCTCCTAGGGTTGTTGGGAGGATCAAATGATAAAATATTTGAAAAGCACTATACAAATGCTAGATATTGGAAAGGAAACAAGCATATATTGAGCACCTACTATGTGCCAGGCACTGTGCTAAGCACGATTTTTCGATGGTCTCTAAAGGTCTTTTTCCAACTCTAAATCCTATGATTTTATTTCTGTTTCTTTTCTCTGCCTCTCCTTCCCCTGTTGCTTTTTTACTTTTTTACTTAGTCTGTAGGACAAGAAGGGCCTGAAGCCAAGATCCTAGCTTCCTCTCCAACCCAGCATGGTGTTTGGAAGGAGTGCTGGATTTGGAGTTGGAAGACCTGGGTTCACATCTTGACTCTGCTCCCTGTGTAACCTTGGACAAATTACTTAACCTCTCCTAATCTTAGTGATCCAAGGCTCCTTCTGGCTCCAGGACGATGATCCTCTGGTCCTGGTCGCTTCCAACCAGATGTACAGGGCACTGCTCTTGGAGACAGGAAGACCCAGAATCGAATCCCATCTCAGATACCTGGGACAGGTATCTGTCATCAGCTGGGACAAATCACTTAGCTTCCCTGGGCCTCAGTTTCCTCATCTGTATTAGTGGGGATTGGACACAATGGCCTTAGAGCTCCCTTCCAGCTCAATATTTAAGACTGTGTAAGCTTATAAACCTATGATCCTATTAGCTATGGTAAACAAGCCAGAAAGATAAACCCTGCCAGGGCCAGGAGCTCAGAATCGTGAAGAAATATCTCACTATCTGTGCCTCTCCCTCCATCTCATAAAACCCAGTAAAAAATTTAACTCCACTCTTAAAAATTAATACTCCCTAAATTTTACATCTCTGAATATTTTATGGGGCAAAATCTGCACCAAAGCAGTGGACAGCAGGGCAGGAGGGGTAGCGGGTACTCGTTTGTGAAACCCCCACCTCCCCACCCTATCTTTTTTAGGAACAATCCCCAGAGAAAACTCCAACCCTGGAACGCCATCTGGTGGTCACCTGGCATATGACAACTGATAGCTAATGGGTGGGAGCCTGGGGGAAGGGGACGTTTTGCTCTTGTTAATCTAAAGCAGAGTTTTCCAAATTACTTTGGCCCAAGAACAGTTCTGAGCTTGAAATACATTAACCAAAGCCATAAAGGTGAATGGAGGTTGGAGAATCTGGCAGGCATGGAATAGGGAAACAAGATGGTATACTAGACCTGGAGTCAGGAAATCTAGGTTTGCATCCCAGCCCTAACACTTAACTTTTATGTGACCTTGGACAAGTCATTCAACTTTTCCAGGCCTTCATTTCCTCATCTATAAAACAAAGAGTTTTAAAAGATGATCTCTAAAATTTCTTCAAGTGGGACTAACAGAATATATGGGAGGTCACAGACATTTTAATGTAGAATCAGGACAATTAATTCTGTTTTCACACTGAAAAATAGTCAAATGTGATAAGCATCTTTGATATAGGATAATAGGATCATAGATTGAGAGCCTTTAAGGTCCAAAACCCATGTTTGGCATTCAAAGCCCTTCATAACTTGGCTACTTCCTACTTTTCTAGTCTTTTAATTACATTACAACCTTCCCTGCTCTCTATCAACCAGCTATACTGGGCTATATACCCTACCTCATCTTAGAATCCAAGGGATCTTTCCCAGTTTCAAAGCTACTGGTACCTTTCCCCTCGATGCTACTTTCTGTCTATAGCTAGTTCTCAATTAGTGTGAAGAATGAATCCCCAGAAGGGATCACATTTATTGGCATTCACACTATTCGAAGTTATAATTTTTTAAGATATGGCCATTGCTTCCAGCCCAATGGAAATAAGCAATGTAAATTCAAATAATGTGACCACTTCAGGATATTTATTCTTCTCATTAATGGTGACCTAGATGTACTCTATATTTTTCTTGTGCTTACAGATGTGTTGTTTTCTCAATTAGAATGTAAGCTCCTTGAGGGCAGGGACTATTTTTGCTTTTTCTTTGTATCCGAAGCACTTAATACAGAGTCTGGTATATAGTAAAGGCTTTTAAGTTAAGTCACTTTTTCAGTCATGTCTGACTCTCTGTGACCCCATTTGGGGTTTTCTTGGCAGATATACTGGAGTGGTTTGCCATTTCCTTTCTCCAGCTTATTTTATAGGTAAGGAAACTGAGGCAAACAGTTAAGTGATTTGCCCAAGGTCACACAGCTAGTAAGTGCCTGAGGCCAGATTTGAACTCTCAAAGAAGAGTCTTCCTGACTCTCGGTCTGGTACTCTATCCACTGTGCCACCTAGAGCATACTAAATGCTTATTGATGGACTACAGATGAAGATACTGAGGCCAAAAGTAATTAGGTGATTTGCTCAAGGTCACATGAACAGTAAGTGGCAGGGTTGGGATTTGAACTCAGGTCTTCTCTGAGTCCATATCCAGTACTCTTTCAACATCATTTGACATTTAATATTTTAAAGAGGAAGATATCGCTAGCATCAAAATGTTCTCCTATTCACGTCTACTAGAGCATCAGGATTCCGGGGAACTCAGAAGTATTGGCCCAAAGGGTAACACAAGTCACCTCAGCCTGTAATGCCCCAATGAGGTAGGCAGCAGAAGGCAGGACAGCTTCCTGGAATAATTGTTTATATCCACGGCAGAGAGGCAGCAGAGCAGGGGGAAATTATGAAGGTGGTTAAGGTTATTTAAGCCCAAAGTCAGCCACAGCAAATTCCCCAAAAGTCTAAGGAATTCTGGTGTTCTGAATAATACAGTAAGCTATATCATATGAAGTTTATCTTAATGCCATTGTTTAATTTTACTGAGTTTTTGGAGGGGGGAGGAGAGACATGCAAACAAATATATACAAATTATGCTATGTACAAAATAAATAGGAAATAATCTGGAAACAGGGCAGCATTCCAGGCAGAGGGGACAGCAGGAGAAAATGCCAGAAACCAAGTGATGGAGTGTCTTATTTGTGGAACAACCTGGAGACCAGTGTCATTAGATCAAAATACATGTTGGGGAGTGAGGCTTAAAAGTTGGGAAAGGTAGGAGGAAGCTAGATTGGGAAGGGCTTTGAATCTAATCCAATCCCCTCACTTGACAGAGGAGAGAATGCTATCTAGGCCTCACCAACCTGAACAATCAATGAGGACAGCAGGAACCAGAGTCTGAACCTAATCCATTCTTTTAGTTGATAGGACCCTGCCTCATCACCATCATTAGCATAACAAGGAAGAATTAGTTCCCCAAAATATTATCATTGTATGAATGTCAGGATCTACTTTTCCTCTCTATGCACTCTCAAAATTTGCTCTTAGCTAATTGGCACATTGGAAGACTAGTCAAGGATAATAGCCTTGACTCATGCTCTAAACCTTTCCCAAGGTCAAGAAGTGGCCCAATTTAGCAGTAATATAGAAGTAGGGGACTGGGATGGAGTGCAGAATTTATTTTCTTCCAGACCTTTAACTTTATCAGGGTGAGAGATTCTTGGGTAGACCTTCCCTCCACCAATGCAGAGCAGCAATTCATTAGCACTTTGGGGCAGCTAGGTGGCTCACTAAATAGAGTGCCAGGCTTCGAGTCAGGAAGATTCATCTTCCTGAGTTCAAATCTGACTTCAGACACTTACTAGTTGTGCGGCCCCGGGCAAGTCACTTAATCCTGTTTGCCTCAGTTTCCTCCTCTGTAAAAGGAGTTGGAGAAGGAAATGGCATACCCACTCCAGTATCTTTGCCAAGAAACCCTAAATGGGGTCATGAAGAGTGAGGCACAACTGAAAATGATTGAAATTAGGGCTTGCAAAGTGCTTTATAAGGATTATTTCATTTGATCTTCCTAACAACCCTGGGAGGTGGATGCTATTATCATGTCCATTTTACAGGTGAGGAAACTGAGACCGAAAGAGATTGAGGTTGCCCAGAATCACACAGGCTACATGTCAGAGTCTAGTCCTGAATCCAGGTCTTTCTGACTCCAAGGCCATCACCCTCCCATCCCCTGTCTCGTACTCCAGTGCTACCTAGCTTACTGATCTAAACACCATATAAAGTGACATCCTTAAAAACATTCTCGTTTGCTTCTCCTGACATCCCCAGCAGCTCTAACCTGAGCAGAATTAGATCTCCTCTCAGTACCTGCATTCATTTGACCATTAAAAATGTTAAATGTAAAAAAGATTGTCCCAGGGACCACGCGCCAAAATTGTATCCTATCCAATTACAAAAATCCAGAGCTCTTATGGGATGGTTCTAACCGAGACTCACAGATCCATGGCTCAAGCAGGTCCTAATACCTTTTACTGGGGTTTTTATAAAAATATTTTGTTTACCTAGATATCAATTTCCTAATCCATAAAATGTGAGTATCATTAGGGAATAGGAACTGGATTTGTGATGTCTTTGGTACAGGAAACTTCCCTTTCCCAGTGTAAGTCAGCACTTTCTCTGCAATTTATAGTCTCTAAGGTGCCTAAATCACTGAAAGGCCAAATGTCTTGCCCAGGGTTACACAACCAATTACATATCAAAGGCCAGATTTGAACCCAGGTGTGCCTGGCTTTAAGACTGGTTCTCTAGCCACTGTGCAACACTGTCTCTAATAATCGGTTGTGCTTGTTCATTCATTTCAGTTGTGTCTGACTCTTCGTGACCCTATTTGGGGTTTTCTTGGAAAAGATACTGGAGTGGTTTGCCATTTCATTCTCCTGTTCATTTTACAGATGAGGAAACTGAGGCAAAGAGGGTTAAGTGATTTGACCAGGGTCACACAGCTAGGAAGTGTCTGAGGCCATATTTGAATTCAGGAAGACTCATCTTCCTAACTCCAGGCCTAGATACACAGTAGATGTTTTTCAGTATACTGATATCCAAGTTAATAATTAACAAACAATACAAAAACAAATAACAAACAATACAAACAATAACTAATAAAAGTTAATTATTGACTGACATTACCAGATACCTAATTTTCCAAGTCTATCTCCTTGCATCAGATACCCCATTGCTGACCATTTCCAAGCATATATTTTTACATGTGGTTATAGAGCAAGGATTCTTAAATTTTCTTTGTGTCATGACTCCCTCTGGCAGTGGTGGAAACTATGGACCCCTCTCAGAATAATATTTTTAAATATATTGAATTACAAAGGAAATTGTATTGAAATACAGATATCATTTTTTCCATCCAAGATCCCCAGAGATCTCTCCTTGGACCATTCCCCTCCCCTTACTTAAGAACCTGTGTTCTTGAGGGTCATTGTCATCATCATCATCATCATCATCGCTTTAAAGGTTATCAATAGCAACAGCTCACATCTCAGCAATACTCTGGTTTACTAAGCACTTTCCCCACAACAGTCCATTATAGTAGGTAGTACAAGTATTATCATACCCATTTCCTAGATCAAGAAAGCAAGATTCAAAAAAGTTGATTGACTTGCCAATGGCCAATCAACTATCATAAAATCAGAGGACATAGACTGAGGACTTTCGAGATGAGCAAATTGGGACACAGAGAAGTTGAGGGCCCAAGGTGGCACAAATAACAGAGGCAGGATTTTGACCCAGGTTCTCTGTCTCTAAATCTGGGGATCTTTTAACTTCACTCCCTTTATCTGAAGCTCAAATGTTGAGACAGCCTGGTGTGGAGAAAAGATCAGAAGACTCAGAAGGCAGGAGCCTTGAGTTCCAGGTTGAGCTGGACTACTGGTCACCTAGTGACCTTGAGTCAGTCTCTTCTCTCCCAGCCTTGGCTTCCTCATTCCTAAATGCAAATAAGGGGTCTGGACTGATCAATTCTATGGCCTTGTATTTTTATAACAGTTCTATTCCAGAGTATTTACATGGCCACAGTTAAAGGAAAGTACAACCTGTAGCCCAGGAAATACACCTGCAGGCCACCAAACATGCATTTTCAGGGCCCCTGAGTTAGACAAGCTTCAACATTGCCTCCTATTCTGCCCTCACTGTGTTTAGAAGTTCTCAGGGTCACTTTACAATAAAACCGTACATATTAGGTAGATACATAAGGCCTGTATTTAATGTTGAGTTTGCTAATGATATTCACTCAAAAAACAACTCTGCAAAAAGTAAGTTACAAGTTGTCTGACATACCACATATATAATTTCTCAAGTGTCTCTCTATGTGGCATCTGGCACATAGTAGGACTAAATAAATAGTTGTTATTGGATGGATTGATTGATTTTTGCCAGATACCTCAAAAGTGAAAACGACAGTTGTTTTAGATGGTCCTAACCCTTTGTCCAGACTTGCCATGAATTGGTCTAATGATCTCTCAATTAAAATCACCTCTTAGATGTCACTTCCTTGTACACTCAGAAATTTTCATCCTGTTATTTCTGAAATGTTTAATTTCTTCTGAAGAATTTTTTTCTGATCATCATTCTGGAAGTTCTGTGGTAGCCTTTGGCCAAAACAGTAACATTCTGTCCAGGGCTTGAATTAAGATCTAAAGGACAAGTAATTCCTTAATGTGGTAATTCTCCAGGGAGATTTACATTTTTATAGTGGAGAGTTTCTTAATTAAGGAAGCTACTCTGATGGTGAAATTTCAGGCACCATGACCTACCAACAAGACACCTATTTCTGCTAAGGAGTAACCAACTTAGCATCTGAGCACAAGGGATTGAAATTAGATTTAAAGAATGGTGTAGTGTAGCATAAAGAATACTGAATCTGGAGCTTCGAGGATCTGGATTTGAATACTAGCTATATCATTGCATATGACCTTGGTCAATTTCACCTATTTGCGCCTCATTTTCCTCCTCTGTAAAATGAAGAGATTTGATTAGGTGATCTCTAATATAATTTCCGGCCCTAAATTATATCCAAACCAAGCCCACGGAAACTGCTCAGCACCCCAAGTAGGATGAAGTCAGCCTACTTTGGGAAAACCATCCCACCCTGAAGCATATCTCTCAGAAGGAGGACCACAGGTCAACAGATTCCAGCAGAACATCATCCCCATCACTTGACTCTGACAGGTCCATTTTTTTTGTCTCTACTAGGTACATCTGGGAAAAGGATGGAGCAGTGATTAGTGTGGACAGCACTCCTCGCATGCGCCTGGACAAGAACGGCTCTCTGCACATCTCACAGACCTGGTCAGGTGACATCGGCACCTACACCTGCAGAGTCCTGTCTGCAGGAGGTAACGACTCCCGAAGTGCCTACCTGCGAGTCCGGTAAGGATACCCCGCCTTCCCCTGGAAGTTAGCCTTGGGCAGCTCAAGGAAGGCTTGGAGCAAGGTCATTACCAAGCTCTCATGCACCAGCTTCCAGCACTAGTCCACCTGTCTTCCTTCTATCCCATCCCAAAAGATACCCAAATCATGTTATCTGTGCCCTCGCCATGATAAGGCATTAGTACATCACAGGCAAAATTTGTGCATTGTCCCTTCATTATGTTACTTGCCACTGGAGGTTTAAAGCTTTCACTGTGACTCAACACTTATTTTTGCCTTGGAGGATGGGATTTCCTGGCATTAAAAATATATGTATTTATAAAAAGTCATTGTAACACCCACCCACACCAGATGGGTGATTTTTCTAAGGGACAGCCCTGTGCCTATATGCTGTATAATAAGCAGAGGGAAACTTGACTCCTGATTTCACAACTATCTTAGGTAATATTCAAAGTTTCCATTATTGTACCCTCTATATATTGCACCCTAAGCAGCTGCCCACCTTGCCTACCCTTAGTTCTAGTTCTGTCTCTATCTCATTAAGTAATTATGCATTAATTAACTATAGGCTAGTTGGGTGATGTAACCAGGCATCATTGTGGATAGGCAGAGGGACCAGTTTCCAAGGATGAGTACTTCAGAAAGGGCAGATGAAATAAAAGAGACTCTTCTTGCCTTAACATAACCCCTCCCCCTGGGATAATAATGATAATAATTGTAATAATAAATACCTAGCATTTATATAGTTGCCCAAGCACATCTATTATCTCATCTGATCTTCATGGCCCTAGGAGGTAGGTGTTATGATTATCTCCATTTTTACAAATAAGGAAACTGAGTCTGAGAGAGGTTAAGTGATTTATCCAGGGTCACACAGCTAGTATCTGATGTGGGATTTGAACTTAGGTCTTCCTGACTCCAAGTCCAACACCCTTTCCACTATACTATCTGTCTGGAAGCTTAGTGTCTATTCATCTGAGAACTCCAATGGCCCACCATCACCTTACAGTATTATGTATCATGGCCATACTTCCTGTACTACTTTCTCTCTTCCAGTCAGCTGCCCCATGCACCTGAGCATCCCGTGGCAACCCTGAGCACAGCTGAGAGACGCTCCATCAATCTGACATGGGCCAAGCCCTTCGATGGCAACAGCCCCCTGATACACTATGTTCTGGAGATGTCAGAGAACAGTAAGACCCTCCTCCTTTCATTTCCCCACATCCTCCTTTGCCCAGGACTCTACCATATGAAAAGCAGGTACAGACCAGGCGGGAATGTCTTGCTCAGTCTCAGTCTCCTCTACCAAAGTGTTAGTGCTATAGACTCCAAAATAATGTCCGTTAATTTGAAAAGTGATTTTTATATGGTATGCATGGAGTCTATCCATTTGTAAAATGAAATTCAGTTAGTAAAATGCAACCCTTAGTTAGTGCTTTTCCTCCCATTCCAACCCCTCCCATATCTGGTCAGGCTGCCCTCGATTTCCCAGACTTAACTGTGGTGTTAACATGGTAGACCATTGTCCTTCCCCCTATCCTAAACTAATCACAGCTTGGGTAGTGATCACAGGGCTCCACTGGAACCTTCATCTCTACCCTGCTCTCCCTCTGCCCCTAAAGATGCCCCCTGGACAGTACTTTTGCCTAGTGTGGATCCTGAGGCTACTTCAGTGATGGTCAAGGGCCTGGTTCCAGCACGCTCCTACCAGTTCCGTCTCTGTGCAGTCAACGACGTGGGGAAGGGGCAATTCAGCAAAGACACAGAAAGGTGAGGAGATCCTTGGGATCTAAATCTCAGTCGCATTATACAGGCAAATTTCAATGGATCTGAACTAACAGGCCAGGAAGGAAGGAAGAACGAATGGGCAGGATATGAGCTCCTAAAGGGTGAAGTCTCTGTTTTTGTAGGCCTTTCCATATAGCACCAAGCATGGCACTATTCATCTTTTTTTTTAATCAAATATTTTTCAGTTAATAAGCATTAATTTTCTCTCTCCCACTTCCCCTCCCCCACTGAAAAACAAAAACAAACTGCTTGTAACAAATATTCATAGACAAGCAAAGCAAATTCCCACATTGGATGTCTCTTACTGCATATTTAGTACTTCACTTCTGTCAGAAGGCAGATGCTCCAGTTTCAACTATGCTCCAATCCCATATGGGTCTATTGGAATAGTGGTTGGTCATTGCACTGATCAGAGATCTTAAGCTTTCAAAGCCGTTAGTTTTCACATTGTTGTTGCTATAGTATAAATTGTTCTCCTCGTTCTGTTTATTTCACTCTGCATGAGTTCATACAAGTCTTCTCAAGTTCCTCTGAAACTGTCCATTTCTTCATTTCTTACAGCGTGATAATATTCCATTCTCTTCATATACCATACTTTGTTCAGTCATTCCTATTGACAGGCACCTGCTTAATTTCTGGTTCTTTATGACCACAAAGAAACTTGTGTAGCACCATTTATTAAAAGCCATTTAATTAATATTTCTTCCCTAAGAATACAAATGGAGCAATGTTCATTCACCCCCCAAAAAAAATTTACAGTAACCCTTCTCCAGGGGTTAAACTTCCAGCAGTCTCAACAATGAATACAGTTCAGTCATTTTCAGTCATGTCTAACTCTTTGTGACCCCATTTGGGGTTTTCTTGGCAAAGATACGGGAGTGGTTTGCCATTTCCTTCTCCAGCTCATTTTTCAGATGAGGAAACTAAGGCAAACAGGGTGAAGTGACTTGTCCAGGTCACACAGCTAGGAAATGTCTGAGGCTGATTCTGAACTCAGGTCTTCCTAACTCTAGGCTCAACGCTCTATCCACTGTGCCCCCTAGCTGTCTCAATATCAAATACAACAACGAAATGATTGTAACAAAGTCCATGAGCTAAAGCTTATGTAGTGTGTCCACAGGGTAATCCCTCAGTGCCTTTAGGGACTGTTGACTCACAACAGTAACCTTATTTTGCACACAATTCTAACAGATTTGCCCATTTGATTTTAAAGTACACAGAAGATAAGAATCTGCAAATTAGGAGAAGGAAAGACCTGATAAAAGTACATTATGGTCTGAGAGAAGTGATCATGGACATCCTGATATTTAGAGAGTTATGCTAAGTTAACTAAGTTAACTAAAAAAATTAGGCGCATACTACAGGGGCCATTTAGCAGAGGGCAGACAGTCCGCACCTCAGCAATATTTGAGGATATCGCTAACCCGACAGCACAGTACAATCATTATCATTTATACTGATGATCCTGAGAATCGAGGAATGGTTAAATTATGTATGATTTTCTCTATTTAAGAAGGTACAAAAGGTATAATAAATTTTAGAAATATTTCTATTAAAAATGATTGGCATAAAGAAAAGTTAGGGCAGCTAAACAAGTAAGTTTAAATAACCTGTATTTGGATTTGTAATCTAGACACACACGCTCTCCCTCCCTCCCACCTACCCACTTATTCAACTGCCCAAGTGTGGTCTGGGAAATAAATGGGAAAATGATAGTAATAGTAATAGGAGGTAGTAATAGGAGTAATAGGAGACAGACAGAAACTAGACCTGTGACTTCATTGACATAAAAATTCCATCTGCTCATGCAGGTTAGCACCTTCTCTTATATTTATTGCTTTAGAGAGTTGCCTGAAATGATTAAGAAGTTAAGTGACTTGCTCAGATGTCACACAGCCAGTATATATTAGAGACAAGACTTGAATCCAGGTCTTCTGACTGGCTCTCTATCCATATGCCATGCTACCTCACTAGTAAGATATAGTAATAGTTCTTATTGATAATTATTAATTAATTGTTGAGTTGGTGGTCACCTAGTTGTCCACCACATCTAGGTCCATAGTCCGTAGATTAGAACTAGAAGAGTCTTTAGATGCCATTGAGTTCTACCTCCTTATTTTACAGATAAGAAAACTGAGTCTAAGAGATGTTAAGGTTTGCAAAACACTGTACATACCACTTATCCCGTTTGTTCTTCACAATAACACTTTGAGGTATTGTTACAAGTATTATTACTCTCATTTTACAGACTAGGAAACTGAGGTTGAGAGCTTTTCATTTTCCTTAAAAGACTAAAGATAGTCCTTCTGCTAAGTGAGAGTTGAGTATATTTGTTCAGCAGTTTTATTTCCCAACTGCTTTATCATCCATTACCATATTTATCCATTTTGCATCTGAGAAATAACAATAGGTAGCCTTTTTCTATACCACTTTAAGGTTTGCAAAGCACTTTACAAATTTTATCTCATTTGATTTTTAAAACAACTTTGCAAGATAGGTAACAGATAAGGAAACTGAGATAGAGGTTAAGTGACCAAGGTCACACAGCTAGTAAGTGTTTGAGGACTTATTTGAACTCAGGTCTTCCTGATTCCAGGTCAAGGGCTCTATTCAATGTAGCGTTTACCTTCCCCTTTAGTCTCTTGGATAGATCCCAAGGTCAAATCGTAAAGCAAGTATAGAACTAAGATTAGAATGCAGATGTCTTCCCTCCTAATAAACCCCAAGACTCTGAAACAGGAGTGAACGAATGGAAAAGCATTTATTAAACACATACTATATGCCAAGCACTAGAGATACAAATACAAAAACAAAAGCAATCCTTGCCTTTAGGAGGCTTACATTCATAGGATAGGATCATAGATTAGAACTGAAAGAAACCTTAAAGGCCACTGAGTTCCACCTCCTCATTTTACACCTGAGGGAACTGAGTCTAAGAGATGTCAAATGACTTCCCAGGATCTTGAAGCTAGTAAAAGTCTTAGGCAGGATTTGAGTTCACTGACTCAAATCCAAGTGCTCTATCCTTTGCCCCACAACGCATATGTGGTGGCCATGGAAGGATATTTTGGCTTGGAAAGTGCAGAAATGGCAAGTAGTGCCACTGATGTTTCCAGGAAAATAACAGCATTAATTTGGTTATGGTTTCAGATTTGGAGGTAGGAAAGGTGATGATAGCACCATTGCCAGTAGCAAATAGTGACTGGTGGGGAGATGTCCAGGGAGTGAATCAATGTCGGGCAAGATCCTGGCCCTAGATGTAATGGATAACTAGGGCCACTACTAATCCACCAATTGGGACTTGCTGGGAATTTGGGCACAAAAGAGTTAGGTCTTCTAAGGCTTGTTTTCTAGACTAGTTGACAAGGAATAGATGTACTTTTTGACATTTGCTGCTCAGAGTCTCCCTCCCTGAAGAGCCACCCACAGCCCCTCCTCAGAATGTCATCGCCAGTGGCCGGACCAACCAATCCATTATGATCCAGTGGCAACCTCCTCCTGAGAGCCATCAAAACGGCATTCTGAAGGGTTATATCATCAGGTAAGCCACCCAGGGAGAGAGAGAAAGAGCTTGAAATTGGAGAAGATTGAGAGCTCTCTTGGAAACATACCGCATGTTCCTACTCTCTATTATAATACCAGTAATCATAATTCACTTTTTATAACTCTTTAAGGTTTACAGAGCACTTTACTCACTACAATCCAGTGGGGTTATTATTATCCCTATTTACTGGTGAGGTAAATGAGGCTCAGATGAGTAAATGATCTTCCCAAGGTCGCCAAGCTAATAAGTATTAGAGCTGGGAGCCGAGCCCAGGTTTCCTGACTCTGATGCCAGTGTGCTGCCTGGAAGGTGTTGCTGTTTGCATGAGACAAGAAGTTAATTTGGGTCTCTTGTGAGACTGGACCACCTTTTAAGAAGTACCCAAAGAGAAGTGGGCTCTGTTTAGACTGTGAAAGATTTAGGTTAGATATCAAAAAGAACTTCCTTGTTGGTGGAATACGAAGTGGATGACAGAAAGTGGTGTGGTAGTTACCTCTTGTAAAGGCTTTAAGACCAGAAGAGGCTATCCATGCCCTGAGCTAAGTTAAGCATAGTCTTCTATGGAAATAGAAGAAATGAGGTGACTTTTGAAGGTTCTGGCCTAGAGATAGAAGACATCCCAAGCTGGACTTATGGTGGAAAGAATAAAAAGCCCACCACCTAGTTGTAACAAAATATCCTGTCCACATGCCTTTCTGATTTCAGAACATGTATCATCAGACCTACCCCTTGGAGCCCAAAGACTCTTACCATGATAGGCCAGTCTGATTCCTATCTTCCCTCTCCTGGATGCTCTCCCACCAAGAGAGACCAGGTCTTTCTCCAAGGTCCCAAGCTACTCACAAATGCCCAGGGGCTCCCTTCTGCATAGAAAAATGTGAACAGAAAGGTTCACCCAAAAAGGCCTCTGGGAGAGTCCCACCCTGCTGTCTATGTTCTTTGCCTCTCCAGGTTCTGCCTAGCTGGGTTGCCTGTTGGGTACCAGTTTAGGAACATCACAAATGCAGATGTCAACAACCTTCTCCTGGAGGAACTCATCATCTGGACCAACTATGAGATCTCAGTGGCAGCCTACAACAGTGCCGGCCTAGGCGTCTACAGTAGCAAAGTGACAGAGTGGACCTTGCAGGGAGGTGAGTGAGGGGGGGGTTCGGGTTTGTGAGTGTGAAGGTCAAAGTTCATGATTTCTTGATCTGATCCAGATACAGATCTGTCTTCATTTATTGCTGTGTTAGCACTCTTCTCTCCTTATACCATCCCTGAAGAGAAGTCAGGCACACCTTAGGTTGGTTTTTCCTGACTGGACTACTCCTACTATCACATACCAGTGCCTTAGTCATTTAGTACATATGATTAACACAGTGTCTGGCATATAGTAGGTTCTTAATAAAAATGTTTATTGAATGAATGTGGGAAAACTCAGGGATAAAGAAATAGGCAAATGCGGAGATAAAAAAACAAAGGCTGAAGGGTACATTGGAGATCCTTTATGCATTTTGATATATTAATTAGATTATGTAACATTATATGTCATAGTCTTGTACTTTTTTTTTAAATTCCAAAGCATTTTTACATCCATTGCTATTAGACTCACAACTACCTGATTAGGCCTGTATTAGCCTGGTGTGATTATTCCCATTTTGCAGAGAAGAAAACTAACTCACAATGAAAGTGATTTGGCTAAGGCCACACCAGAAGTTAAGAGTAGAGTTTTTAAAGTCCAGGTCTCCAGCAGGGTAATACAATGAAAAATCCAAAGACTTGAGTTCAGATCTCAACTCTGAAGTTTACTAACAAGTCATTTAACCTATGTGGGCCTCAGTTTCCTCATCTGTAAAATGGAGTTGGACTAGATCATCTGTAAAGGCAAACCCACTCTAAATCTGTGATCCTTAACCCAGTGATCTTTCTGTTTGATCAAGTAAAATCTATAAATTTTACCTATTATACAAAGAGTTGGACACAACTGAAAAACAACTGAACAAAAATTATAGGCAAGGGAGAGGCAGTATTGCATAGTGTTTAGAGAGCTGCCTCCAGTCAGGAAGACCCAGGTTCAAGTTCTGCCTCTCACACATACTAGCTGTGTGACCCTAGGAAAATTACCTGCCCTTTCAGGTCTCTAAAAACCTCTCTAAAGTCATAAATTGCAAAGAAGATTCTAGCCTACATTGGTTAGGGAGTTTCCTTTCCTGGGAGTTTCCTATACCTGTATCACAGGTCCACATTCCTTTTTATCCTATTATAGTCATGTACCTAGTTACTTTTTTTTGCAATAGGCCTATAGTTTTGTCCTCTCTGACATTTAAGCTTTTCCCCATTTCTTCCTCTCCTTCCCCCACCCAGTTCCCACAGTCCCCCCAGGCAATGTCCGAGCTGAGGCCATCAATTCTACAACCATCCGATTCACTTGGAATGCCCCGAGCCCCCAGTTCATCAATGGCATCAACCAGGGCTATAAGGTAAGAAGAAACTCAGCTTACTACTCTCTTCCAGGATCCCCTGTCTTTCAACAAAAGATAGAGGGCACAAATGGAACAGAAAAGATCCTCTGAGGCAATGGCATATTGTTCTGATCCATGCAGTGGTGTCCTGGTAAATGTTTAACAACCAGCTCTCCCCTCAAAAAAAAGAAATTACACATAACATACTTTTAAGTTTAATAATCATTGTTGATATTTTCTTTATCATTTTCTTTAGTCTAAATAGTCAACAAAACAATAAATCAAGCTCTGATTTGTAGCATTTGCTAATTTTGAAAGTATGAATTGTCACTCTAAAAATTTACAATCAGCCAGTTCAAACTGGCCCCAACACACTCCCAGATCAAAGCCTCTAGGCAAGGTAGCTGTAAACGTGGGCTTCACTATTGGTCAGGCCCACTGAGAGGAGTCAGTGTGACTTGGGTAAAATGGGGCCTGGATTTTGAAATAGAATGCTTTAGTTCTATCAGAAAATAAAGAGGTTGTGACCTACCCCAAAGCACACTCATTCTTCTCTGAGTATCTTTCTTTGGTCTGATGGACAGGTAAGGTAGAGGTCCTGGCCTCTACGACTCAGTTTCCCCTTCTTTATATAGTGAAAATATAGAGAAAGGAATCAGAGTGAAAGGAGTCAGAGATCTTCCTCTCTCCCTATGGGTATTGAAGACAGGGATCTGTAGCCTCACATTTGTAATTGTCCTTCCTGACACCAGATGGATAAACTAATTCTGAGTGACATATATGAGTTAACACTGTCAATGAGCAGCACAGCTTAGAAGTGGAATCTCCAACTCTTGAATTATTTGATGGGATTTGTTTATTGGTCTATGATTGAGTTACTGCTGATCCCTACAGTCTTACCTGTCAGGTACCTGAACCTCCTGTGAAAGATCTATTTGCATGCATGCAATACCTGTGATTGTTACTCTAATAATTGCCATGATTTGGGATTACAGCAGTGGGGGCTATTGAGGTTAGACTGGAGAAAAAAGTTTCCTAGCAACACTAGAGAGAAGGGAATTTTAAAAATAGGTAAAGTTGTAACTATCACGGGGCAAATGGGGCTTTGTTTCATGGTGTTGGTGGAATACAGAGGCATCCTTCCTCCCTCCTGTGTCTATCTTCTCCAAACCTTGCCTTGGTGTCCTTTGGTGGCATGCAGCACAATTGTTCCCTAGACATCATCTTCAAGATCTTGTCATTGTGGTATCCCTCTCCCAGGCCTATCTTCCACTCTCAGCCCAGGAGGGGAAATGAGCCGCAGTCTCTAGAAGATGGACCTTCCCATCCCTACATAATTAATTACTGCAGGAAGAACTTTCCTCCCCATTGCCTTCCCTAGTCTGTCTTTAATTGAATTTTGACCTAGACACAATTATGGCCAGTTCCAACTTGGAAAACAAAGAAAGACCCCTTTATCTTCCTGGGCTACCTAAACATGTACAGACCCTCCAGGCATATTGACAGCCTCACCCAAAGGAAGCTTACAGAATGTGAGTCAAAGACAGATAGATGAGACAGTTCCTGGCCTACACAGGGAAGGAGAGGAGAAACGAAGCTGTTAACACTTGGTTATGAAACCAGAAACCATGAAACCGTTCTTGGCATTAGCAGGGAAGGGCTTTTTAATTGAGACTCAAGAGGGAAGCAGAAGGCAGATCTCTCCACCAACTCACCGAGTTGGAAACAATTACTTTCCTTCACCATAAAAGTTTCATACCAAATTGGGAGACTTAGCTTCAAATGAGACCATAGGAGAGGAAACTTCAAAGGCAAAAGAGGCCCAGCAGGGCCAGAGAGGCAGGTTGAGGCGGCCAGAGCAGTTAGGCCTCAGCCTAGGATTACCTAGATCAAAAGCAAGTAGGTCAGAAACACCTGATTATACATCATGGAGAGTTCAGAAGACTGGAAAGCCAGCAACCCAAAAGAGGACAAGAGCTGCTGTTGTATGGGAGGATCAGTTTCTCTTTCTCTTCAGTGCTACTACATTTTTCTCACCATCATAGAAAAGCCTTCACTGAACACTTGATTATTATTCTTAGGTGCTATACCGTGGGAGCTCATAGAATCATGGGTTTGAGAGCAGGAAAAGTCCTTGGAGAGACTGTTTTGTCCAATTCCCTCACTTAAAATCAATTCACTTGCATGTCAAGATGTCACCATCCTGATGTCACTGGTCCTCTTTGAGAACAAAGGACAAATAGGCAAAGGTTACTGAGACCTAGTGATGGGTAGTGACTGGCACACAGGAAGTAAGCTGATCTCTGCCCTCTAGCTCTAAGTGGGAAGACCTCCCTTGAGCAGGTTAAATGGATCTCCAGGAGGTCAGGCTACTGGGCAGAGTGTCCAAGCCCTCTGGCCGCTAATGTTCTCTACCTTATTATCATTACCGATATTAATAGCTCACATTTCTATGGTGCTATTTATGTGGAGTTTACAAAGTTCTTTCTCTGCAGAAATTCTCTGGGGTAGGTAGTGCATGTCACATTTTAAGAGGAGAGAATGGAGACTCAAAGAGGTTTAAATGACTTACCTGGGGTCACACAGCCAGGAAGTATCACAGCTGGTACTGAAGCACAGGTGTTTGGATCCAAACCCAATGCTCTTTCTACTATGCTGTGAGGGGAAAAAAGTCAAGAATATAGGCCTTAGGGCTCATGACCCATTGCTCTCTGGGGAGGTCTTCAAAACCTCTCCCCTACCCTGAATGTAAGAATGACAGCTTCAGATAAACAAGGAAAGAATATATATTCAATAGGAAAAAAAAATGAATAGACACATAAATTGACAGTAAAATATCAGTGTTCTATCGACAGACATTTTTATAAACACATGTATGTATGTGCCTACATATGATAATATTAGCTAGCATTTATACAGTGCTTTATAAGCATTATCTCATCTACTCTTCACAACAAAGGAAATGCTATTATAATTCCCATTTTACAGATAAGGAAACTGAGGCTTAGAGGTCAAGTGACTTATTCAGAGCCACATGTCCAAGAATTTGAGCTCAGGTCTTCCTAACTCTAATTCCAGCATTGCATCTACTGTGCACCTAGATGCCTAAGGTGCTTTTATGTGTGTGTATCTGTATATGTGTGTATAAACATATACACATGTGTCCACATTCCTATGTATCTATACATGTGTGTATCCATGTGTATATTATATACATATGGACATATATTTATGTGTCTACATAAATGCACACAAACACAGAGTATTGCAAAAGTATTTAATAACCTAAAGTTACAAAGACTTTGGGGATAACCCTGTGTGTATGTATGTATGTATGTGCATATACATATATATATATATATATATATACACACACAAATATGTACTTCTGTGTATATATGTGTGCGTGTTAGTATTGTGCATTTATATATGCACGATAGGTGGTATGTATGTGTGTATAAACAGGCCATGCCTATTCTTCAACCCAACCTTCTCCATAGGTAATAGGTATGTGTGTGCAGTATGTATGTATGTACAGGGGTGTGTATGTACTGGTTGTTCCACCATGGGCAAGTCATTTAACCTCAATGTATCCCAGCCAATTATCCAAAATTATAAGTTGCCTATCTGCAGAGGGAGTTCCCCACAAATACGAAATTGTAGGATTGGACTAAAAAAGAAAAATACAGTCATGCTTTGGAAAACATGGTTTCATCCAGTCTTATTTTCAAATGCATTGTAATGTCATAGGACCCCAAAGGTCATGTTTCTTTTGTGGAAACAGCGTAGTGCCTGCGTTTACTTGGTAGGACGAGACTGGGAAAAGCTATTCCTTCCCCTTTGTTCTATTGGGAGAGGGATGTTGGAAGAAGGAGAATGTCAAGAAGTGTTTCAGCAGTTTTAAAATAATTGTATCTGAAATGGATCGTTACTAGTTTGAAGCCTGCCCAACATTCTCCTCCCTAGCCTAGCTGGGCCATGCCTGTTCTTCGAGTCAACCTCCTCCATAGGGAATAGATGGGAACGGTGAGCATATGTGTAACACTCTTTTATCTTTCTTACCGCTGCTCAACTTTCCCATCTATAAAGTAGGGATCCCAACCCTGCTGGCAGAAAAGGAGAGATTCACCCCTAAACTCTGTGCAAACAGAAGGACAAAACCGTAACTGCCATCTTAGGTTTCAAGCATGGAACTACAGTCATAAAGTCAATATTGTTTCTCCTTAAAATCTCATTTCCTTAAATGTGTCTGTTCATTTCTGGATCATTTTTATTGGTGAAATCATGGTATGAATCTGTTGGACACCTTCCTACATACACTTTACAATCTTTTAAAACAGTCATTATTCTAATTGGTCCACGACTAATAAAATATTTACCAAGATTTAATACTTACTGGAGAGCAAAGGCTTAGGTACTATGTAATTAATTCTAATTCATAATTAATTCAAATTTGCATAAATTAAATTGAATTAAAACATTAAACTTGCTTCTTAATCTACTCAAAAGAAGTTTGGCAATTTAATTGCCACAAAACAAGATAACTAGAATAAGGAGGATATTTAACATACTTATTAAATGCCATTTAGTATTTCTGATTAGTATTTTTAGGGTCTAATTAGTATCTAATTAACTCGCCAAAGGCTATTTTGCGCAATACTAATTAAATGCCAAAACATGGTTTATAAACATAAGACCATGAAAGGAAGAAGATTAAGCATTGTTAGAATCATGAGTTAATCAGGCGACATTGGCCGCAGTATTGTTTTATATCTATAAATACTCATGCTTATTAAAACTCATCAAGTGTTGCTTTTCATCATTAATTGATATTTAATCAACTTTGAATAAATGAGGAAATCTCAGGGACCAGCTGTCATCTTGAGAGACAGATGAAATGACTGGAAAACAGGAGATCAAGATGGAAAATGGGAGAGGAGAAGGAGGGAGGATGGGGTAAAGAAAGTGATTAGGAAAGAGGGCTGCTTAGAACTTCCAGACTAAGAGGCTTTTTTGGCTAAAGCCCAGTGGATAAAACACTGGACCAGGAATCAGGAAGACTCATCTTCCTGAGTTCAAATCTGGCCTCAGACACTTACTAGCTGGGTGACCTTGGACAAGTCACTTAACCCTGTTTGCCTCAGTTTCCTCATCTGTAAAATGAGCTAGAGAAGGAAATGAAATGGTAAACCACTCCAGTGTCTTTGCCACAAAAACCCTAAATGGGGTCACAAAGGGTCTGATACGACTGAAAAAAGACTGAACAACAACAGTTCTCAATAATTTGAAACTATAGCAGTTTTGAAAAAATAAGCATTAACCCCAAACCAAAGGCCCCAGCTGCCTTAGGGTCGGTTTTTTAATAAATGAAATGACATCAAGGTGGGACTCCTCCAGAGGATGTTACGGTGTGGGGGATAGGGGGATGGGAGCCTGTCCTTTTTGTGCCCTCCTAATGGAAAGAGGAGCAGCAATGATTTGAGGGCCTGGATTCTCTGCCCAGTAGCCTGACCTCCTTAAGGCCGAGCTTGGCCTGCTTGATAGAGCTCATCTTATCCCACCTGACATGCTGAGTATCCCATCTCCCCAGCTGATTGCCTGGGAGCCTGAGCAAGAAGAAGAGGTTACCATGGTGACAGCCCGGCCCAACTTCCAGGACAGTATCCACGTGGGCTTTGTGTCAGGCCTGAAGAAATTCACAGAGTACTTTACCTCGGTTCTGTGCTTTACCACACCCGGAGATGGACCCCGCAGTTCACCCCAGTTGGTGCGCACCCACGAGGATGGTATGTGCCCCACTCCTCTTCTAGTACCCCCCACTTTTCCTTGTAACAGTTGATCTAAGTTCTTCTGGGCAATGGGACACCCATATTTTGTTTTCCTTTCATATCATCTCCAACCCAGCCTAGGTTATAATCTTGTCTCTTTGGAAAAGTATTCACTCCCTGATTCTAACTTTCCTTGTGCTTTGGGGGGTGGGGATTGCCGGTTTTTTGTTTTTTCTGTTGTTTTTTTCCTGGGAACAGTACCTGGCCCTGTGGGACACCTGAGCTTCAGTGAAATCCTGGACACCTCCCTGAAGGTCAGCTGGCAAGAGCCTGGGGAGAGAAACGGCATCCTCACTGGTGGGTCTAATCCTTTCCTTAGTGTCACTAAATCCCAGACAGGACCTCAAAAGATTATCCTTAAAACACCACCAGCCTTCCACCCATTCTTTAAAAATAGCCAGAGAATAAATGAGAAAGCATTTAGTAAGCATTTTCTACTTGCCAGACAGGCAGTGGTGTTACAAATACAACGAAGCAAGACAGTCCTTGAACTCAGGTGCCTTACATTCTAATGAGGAAAGACTCTACATCACGGAGAGAAGGGGTAGATGCATGGCACAGGCCAGGAAATAACTGGAGACCAAGACAAGATGAGGTGATAGCTCACTAATCAAAGTCCAGGGACCCAAGGGCAGAGTCCAAGTAGCTCCAGAGGGAGAGTTCTGATTGGGAGAGCTAGAGCAGAGGCAATACAGGCTGAAAATGATCAGGAGTAGACAACATTTATATAATGCTCTAAGGTTTACAAAGCACTTTATATATCTTATCTCATTTAATCATCGTAACAGCCCATGAGGCAGGTGCTATTATTATCCCCATTTTACAGATGAGGAAACTAAGGATTAGGATTCTCTATGCTGCCAATCAATAACATACCCCGATATTTCCCGTTAAAAATCTCTGGTTTGGGGGCAATTAGGTGGCACAATGGATAGAGCACCGGTCCTGGAATCAGGAGTACCTGAGTTCATATCCGGCCTCAGACACTTGACACTTAACTAGCTGTGTGACCCTGGGCAAGTCACTCAACCCCAATTATCTCACCCAACAACAAAAAAAAAAGACTATAAAAAAATCTCTGGCTTTTCTGCCCTTTCTTTTGCTACCCTTGGCGTGACTGCCATGAGCTTCTAATATCTCTTCTGCAGTGGCCAAGCTATCTCAGTATTCTGCTGGTATTTGGCCCTTTCTATTCTAACTACAAGTAGCTGGGTTGATAATTGGTGCCCAATAGCAGTCCTGACCTTAGAAAAATTAAAAGCAAAGATAGACCTAATTAAAAGAGATAAGGAAGGAAATTGCATCTTGCCATAGACAATGAAGCCATCAAATTAGAAGAGCAAGGAGTAATCTACCTGTCAGATCTATGGGAATGGGAAAAATTCATGACCAAACAGGAAATAGAGAGCATACAAAGTGTAGACTAGATAATTTTGATCCTATTAAGTTGATAATTGGTGCCCAAAAAGATGCCAATGCCTCTCACCTTCCCAAGGTGAGAAGGATGGTACAATGGACAAGCAACAAATATTTATTAAGCACCTGCTCTGTGCAAGGCCTTGTGGTAGGAACAAGGAGTAAAAATAGGGTTGCAGCCCTAAATGAATAAATTCAATTTAATAGGATGAAATGAATAAATAAATGATAATAGGGTGAAATGAATAACTATGATGAAGGGCAAGTGAGATAAACACAAAAGAGAGGCCCAGGCAAAGTAATATGAGAAACTTAAGGAACCATAAAGTTATTTTCACCTTGGGGAATGGAGAGGGGAAGGGAGGGCTGATCAGGTAAGCCTTCATGGAAGAGTTGGCATCTGAGTTGGCTCTTGTAAGAAGTTAGGAGCATTGACAAATTAGGGAGAGGGGGGAGTTTATTCCAGATTTAGGGAAAAGCGTGAGCAAAAACAGAAATAGGCCAGAGAGCACTTCCAGACAGAATGCCAGGCCACTGAGCAAAGTATCCAAACATTCAGACCGCTGCCACCACTATCCTTCCTCTATACCCAAAAAGCACAAACAAAACAAATAGTCCATAGACTCGTGCCAATAACTCCCAGACCTTTATAGTACATGCCAAAGTTTCCTTAAGGCGAATCCTGTCAGGTGGAAAGGTAGGTTGTAACATCCCAGTATCTCACAGCTAAATATGTATCCCTTGTCCTGTTTTTCCCCCTAGGATATCGGATCTCCTGGGAGGAGTATAACCGCACTAACACCCGGGTAACACATTACCTGCCCAACGTCACCCTGGAATACCGTGTCACTGGCCTAACTGCCCTCACCACCTATACCATTGAAGTGGCAGCTATGACCTCAAAGGGCCAAGGCCAAGTATCAGCCTCTACCATCTCCTCTGGGGTCCCTCCAGGTAAGTTGGTAAAGGTAATACCACCCCAGGCATCATTCTGCCACCCAAGAACCCAATGAAGAGTTTTCTTCTCTCCTGGAAATACTAGATGTCTTCTAGAGCATTCTATCTTCCTTGAGATCTGGGATAAAATGCCTCTAAGGAAGATATCATATCCCCATAATTTCAGAATATTGGGCAGAGGGTCCAAGGAATAATGCTTCTCTAGCACCCACGCCTCAAGAAAAAGGTACAGGCTACTGGTACTTACTCCTTTGTACTCAAGAACAGCCCCTCTTTATTGAGGTCCTGTTATCCCACTGGATCATGTGCTATAATAATAACAATAAAAATAACATTTACATTGCATTTTAAGGTTTGAAAAATGCTTTGCATATGTTATGTAAATGCTATAAATACATATGAATTTACATAGTAGTAATATACTATATAAATGTTATAAATAAAATGTCATCTCATTTTATTCCCCCAACCACCCTGTGAAGCAAGTGCTATTTTTATCCCCATTTTACAAATATGGAAACTGAGACAAATAAGGGTTAAGTGACTTGCCCAAGGTCACACAGCTAATACGTGTCTGAGGCAGGATTTGAACTTGGGCCCATAGTGTGACACAGTGCCCCAGAGACTAATGTTTACTTGGGCTATGTTACTCACAGAGTAATCAGAGTGAACAAGGTGTAAAATGAAGGGCTGTACTAGAACAATGGTGTCAAACTCAAATAGAAATGGGGCCAGCGAACCATATATCAGGATGCCTGCAGGCCACGTATTGACTTAGAAAACCACATATTAGCATTATTATTTTAATTATCTATAATATTATTACCTATTAATAAATATATTTTTGCTTTTATTACCTAATTACATTTTAATCTGGTTTGGCCCACCCTAGGGAATGTTGTGGACTGTGAGTGGCCATGTGACTGACACCTGTGAGCTAGGTGGCTTTGAAGGTCACTTCCAGTTCCAAATCCTCTGATCACTGTGATAGGATATTTGCTGCCATAGTTGAGTCATATCTGGAGTACTGTGTTTTATTCTGGGTACTGCATTATAGGAAGGATTTAAACAAACTTGAGCAAGACCATGATTTTGAGAAGCCTGAAAGAAGATAACTAGAGGGGGTAGGGGGCAGGGGGGGAGGGGGAGGTTGAGTGTGAAGGAAAAAAGGTGTAGGGAGTCACATGATACCTGCCTGTCCAAACCTTCCACCAGCCCCTAGAAGGTAAATAGTACACAACAAAAGTACAGCCATCATTATAAAATTAAAGGGACATAATGGACCAAAACAGTGCTGACTAGTGGATAGAGTGATGGACGTCAGGAAGACCTAAGTTCAAATCCTGCCTCAGATGCTTACTAGCCATGTGACATCAGGCCTCAATTTCCTCATCTATAAAAATAGAGGGTTGGCCTTGATTACCCCCAAAGTCCCATCCAGCTCTAAATCTCTGATCCTCTCAGCCTCCAAGGAGGCTTTCAGGTGAGGTTTAAAGAGGAGATGGTGGGCATACCAGGGTAGCCAGTAAAGTCTTGATTGGGAGGAGGGGGAATAGAGGATAGAGCTCTGTCCCTTCCTATATAATTTTCTTGGGTTTATTTTTCTTTCAGAACTCCCTGGAGCCCCCACCAATCTGGGCATCTCTAATATTGGCCCCCGCTCTGTGACATTACAGTTTAGACCTGGTTATGATGGGAAAACATCCATCTCCCGATGGCTGGTGGAGGCACAGGTAATCGCGGGCAGAGAGGGTCTCCATCTTTATCCAACATGCCCGGGACAAGCAAACCACATGTCCCATCTTGTCCATAAGAATTAGGCTATAACCCTATTGTGATTAATTCCAAAATCCTCTCTGATGATTTGCATATAAAACAATGTTTTATATCGAATGTTCAAATGCACTAAAAACACCTAACCCTCCCAAGTCTCTGCTACTTCCTCCAAGCCCCCTATGCCCCTAACTCACACATACAAATACCAGCCTCTGACCATGTGGCCAACCTGAGGGGGGAAAACTGGTTGGATTTTCCCATTAAAGTTATTTCAGTCCTTAAGGAATATTTTACAGTCGTGCTTAAAAAGTCATATCCTAGGGTCTGGGAATATGGAAACCACCTTTGGGGCTGTTTCTTGCTATCCACAGAGTGGGTCCTGGGATTTACACCTTGAACCTTGAGCAGAAGCAGAGAGTATTGGGTATCTATGTAACTCCTAGGATTCTGGGACAGACTCAGGGCTCCTAGAGAATACTACTAGGTGACTAAGCAGGACTCTAACCTTTCTGCCCTGATGGCCCCTCCCCTTTCTCAGGTGGGAGTGGTGGGTGAGGGAGAAGAATGGCTACTCATCCACCAACTGACTAATGAACCTGATGCCCGCTCCATGGAGGTGCCCAACCTCAACCCCTACACCTTCTACAGGTAAAGCAGACAAAGAGGCAAGACCAAGGTGAAAGGGGATATTGGCACCAGGGGAACAAGGGATGGGAAGCTGGTTTTTGAGGGTTGTAGCCCTGGTCCTCCCCTCTGGGGACAATTTGCTTGTCATCCTCATTAGGTCTCTCATCCTCCCCTTTCCCTTCCCCTACCCCTAGCTTCCGCATGCGCCAGGTGAATATTGTGGGCACCAGCCCCCCCAGCCAACCCTCTCGCAAGATCCAAACCCTCCAAGCTCCACCAGACATGGCACCTGCCAACGTGACCCTGCGTACGGCCAGTGAGACTAGCCTTTGGCTGCGCTGGATGGTGAGACAGATTCCTGGGAGGGGATGGGGGGAGTAGGGGAACAATGTCACCAGAGTTTGGGAGTCTCTGCAAAGGTGTCAACACTAATTGGTACCCATGGAGGACACTGGACATGACAGGCAATCTGAGTGCCCATCAGAATCCAGCACGAGGCAGTAAAGCCTTCTGCTTTCAGAGAGAGAGAAAGAATGAGAGGGAGAGAATTGGAGGGAGAGGAGGGAAGGAGAAAGAGAGAGAGAAAACAGGAGTGAGGAAGACAGAGAATGGGAGGGGGATGCAGACAGACAGACAATGAATTGGAGGGAGGGAGGAAGAGAGAATGGGAAGGAGAGGAGGAAAGGGGAAAGAGAGAATAGAAAGGAAAAAGACGGAGAATGGGAGGGGGAAAGACAGACAGACACAGACAAAGAATGGGAGGGAGGGAGGAGAGAGAATGGGAAGGAGAGGAGGGAAGGGGAAAGAGAGAGAATAGGAGGGAGAAAGACAGAGAATGGGAGGGGGAAAAACAGACAGATAGGCAGATGGAAAGAGAGAGAGAGAATGGAAAGGGGAGAGACAGAGAATGGGGAAATGGGAGGGGGAGAAAGAGAGAAAAACAGATACAGAGGAAGGTTTTCTTCTGTCAAAAAAACAACCCCAATCCTCTGTTCATGCATACCTGTGTTCCCTTTATAATTAATCCACAAATATTTATCAAGCATTTGCTATGTACCAAGTACACACTAGACACCAGGGAAACAAAAACAGCCTCTGCCTCAAGGAGGTTACAGTCTAGCCTGGGGAGACAGCTTGTACGTACATAGGCATGTCCAAAATAACTAGAAGGTGATTTGGAAGGGTTAGGCATTAAAATTCAGGGGGATCAAGAGTGACATTATCCCTGTGCCTGAATATATCTCTTATGTACCTGGTTATTTCTATTTCATCCACTAGAATGTAAGCTCCTTGAGGGCAGGGACAATGTTTTGTTCTTTATTTGTATCCCCCATGCTTAGTGCAGTCTCTGACTACATAGTAATTACAAATGCTTCTTGACTTGCAACATGACCTTAGAGAAGATAAAACCCCACTCTGACAGGTCTCTCTTCTGGGAAATGGGAAGGAAAATCCTTACCGCTTATGTTCCCCCAAGGGGCTGGTGAATGGTCAAGAGGTTACAGAAGTGGGAAGCAGCATCATGTGATGTACTAGAACTCGGAAACCCAGGGTTGGGTCCCACCTCCTCCATTTGCTAGCTCTATGACCTTGGACAAGTCACTAATCTCCTTGGGTCTGTTGGCTCATATGTCAAATGAGGAGGTTGGACTAGATCGGTGGTTCCCAACATTTTTTAGTTTCATGAACCCCTTTCAACAACAACAAAAATGTGTTGTGAACCCCCCGCCCAGGACAATTTAATATACTACTCATGATATTCTTTACAATTACTTAATACTTAAAGCACCATTAAAGAATTTTTAGTGTGAACCCTTTGAACTATCATTATGAACCCCCCAAGGGATTAGCAAACAACTATATGGGAACTATTGGATTTAATTATCTCTAAGCTCCCTTTTAGCAATAACAATTTATGAATCCTCCAAAGATAACCCCTGGCACCAAAAATAAGCAGGAGTTATTACAGAGAAGTAGTGGAGAAAGAAAAAAAATTGGACCTGGGGTTTGATTCCTTCATCTATCATTTTCTAAATGTGTGACTTTATGCAAATTACTTCTCTCTGAGCCTCGGTTTTCTCATCTGTAAAATGGGAATGATGCTTATACCATGTACTTCATGGGACTGTTATAAGTTTCAATGAGATGATTGTTGTACTTGCCTTAAAGACCATTTTTAAATACAACTCTCTCTACTCGCATTCTGCATCTCCTCCTTGCTAAGCAATGTTTGAGCCCCATCTAGAGTCAGCTGCCCCCTTCCATACCTCACAGGGTTTTAAGTGTGCCAAGTAGCTAAAAGGTTAAACCCTCTAATACCCAAGAGAGAGTAGAGGGGGAATAAAAAAGTAATCACCAACTTAGTATAAGGCCCTGGGCAACTCTTAGCTTCATTTAATGGTGCATGGCCCGTTACCTTTCCTTCGCAGGTATCAGATCATGAGAATAAAGTTCCTTCTCCCTCTTAGCAATCCTATCAATTGCTATCCTAATGGTCTGTGGTCTGTTTCACTAAGTGTTTTCATGAGTTGAGGTTTGGGAGGAGGGAGGGCCCATGTGGCAGATGGTCAAAGCAGAAGATAGTGAGGAGAGGTTGCAGGGTGAGAAATGGAAAGAAGGGGGTTTGTGTAAGAATGCTATGGATGATGAGGTCAAAGGGCATCTGAGACTATTCTACAGGGGCCAGGAGATGAAAATAAAGAAGAGATGAGGCCAAGGCTACCCATGTGACTCTTCCTGTGGCTTGTATCTCAACTACATTCATAAACAACATCCTGGATTGGTTGGGAAATCTGTATACCCACATACCACACCATCTACTACCATCTGCCACATACCCTGTCAATTTAAGGGCAAACAAATTTCCCAGGCTACCTTGAGTTAACAATCCCAAATCAGATATATGCTGGATACTCTAGCCCCACCAGCCAAGTCACAGACACAAGACCGTGACCTGTCCCTTGATCTCCAAAGAGAAATTCAATTGGATTTAATTCAACAAGCATTTATTAAATGCTATCTATGTGGTATACTTTGGCCATACAAAGGTGAGTTGGTCCCTGCCTTCAAGGAACTTATGTTCTACTAGGAGGAGATAACTTATACAGGGATAAGTAAAGACAAACTTATACAAAAAGAATGGGGATGATCTGCATTTTCATCCTACCTCAGACATTTATCAGCTATATAACTCTTGGATAGTCCTTTTTTCTTTTTCTTTTTTTTTTTTTTGGCTGGGCAATAAGGGTTAAGTGACTTGCCCAAGGTCACACAGCTGGTAAGTTCAAGTGTCTGGGGTCAGATTTGAACTCAGGTTCTCCTGACTCCAGGGCTGGTGCTCTATCCACTGCATCACCTAGCTGCTCCTGTAACTCTTGGATAGTCACTCAACCTTTTACAGCCTCACTTTCTTCATTTATAAAATGGAAGTGTTGGACTCACTGCCCTTGAAGGTTCCACTTCAGCTCTAAATCTATACTACTATGATGCTAATTTGGGGAAATGGAATGAGGAGATAGAGAACAATAACAGCTAGAAAGAGCAAGAAAGGCCTCATATAGGAATTGTTCCCTGATCTGAGAGCCTTAAAGGGAGCTAAGACAGGGAGGTTCCAATTGGGGCAAATAATGAATCCTTGAAGTGGTCGCATGCGTTCAAATTTGTACTATTCAAAGCTATAATTATGTAAAATATGGTCATTGGTTCCAGCCCAATGGACCTATGCAATGCAAATCCCAATAATGCAAACTTTTCATAAGATTTCTTACACTAATAAAGACCTAGCTGGATTTCCAGGAAGTGGCGATGGGGGGAAGGAGAACATTCTGAGCATGAAGTGTTAACAATACCTTTGCAAAGCTACAGAGACAGGCTATGGAGCACAAAGCTTAGGAAACATCAAATAGGCCTGTTTGTCTGAAATGTAATGTATGAAGGGAAGTTATGTGAAATAAGCAGGAAAAGTAGCCTGGGGCCAGACTATGGTAGGGTTTTTGTTTGTTTGTTTGTTAGTTTTTGGTGAGGCAACCAGGGTTAAGTGACTTGCCCAGGGTCACACAGCTAGTAAGTGTCTGAGGCCAGATTTTAACTCAGGTCCTCCTGACTCCAGGGCCGGTGCTCTATCCATTGCACCACCTAGCTGCCCCATGGAGGATTTTAATGCCAAAGAGGCATTTGTGTTTTATCTTGGAGACAATGGGGAGCACGGAAGTTTCTTGAATATGGGAGTGGCATAATCAGACCCATGCTTTAAGAATGTCACTTTGGCAGCTTTATGTTGGGCAGATTGGAGAGGCAAGATACTAGAAGCAGGAAGACTGAAATAGCCCAGCCAAGAGGGGTTGAGGGCCTGAACTTAGAACCACTGTAGAGCCAAGTGTAATCATCTCTGCTCCCATTCAACTTCCCACCAAGCCTCCCTCAATCTACCAGTAAATTATTAGAAATTTATTAATTGCAGCAACTTAGGAAGCCATACAGTGGATAGAGGCTGAACTCAGAGTCAGGAAGACCCGAATTCAAATTTGGCCTCAGACACTTACTAGCTATGTGACTTTTTGTCTCAGTTACCTCATCTGTAAAATGGGGACATTAATAGCACCTACCTCTCAGGGCTATTGTGAGGATCAAATGAGATAATATATGTAAATGGAATGGAGTAAATGTAAAATACATGTAAATAAAGTGGAGTCCTTGTGAGTGGTGAGAAGGGATTGGACACTCAATATGCAGAGGGAGAATCTACAAAATTTAATGACTGATTGGATCTGGGGCGATAGGTTGAGCTTGGGAGAAGATTCACATATGACTCCAGTATTATGAATCAAACCAAGAGGAAAGGGGGTTAAACTACCTTTGTAGGAATTGAGTTTAGATAGAAAGATGGTCCTAATGATGAAATACATCTATATACCTGTCTCTCTCTATGTGTAGATATAGATATAGATATAGATATAGATACATATTTTTATAGATATAGATATGTATTTTTATCTATATAGATGAAGATATGTATATAGATATATATCTTATTTCTCTCTATATATAGATGTGTGTATATATATCTTATTTCTCTCTCCCTCTCTCTATATATATAGATATATAGATGTATATAACTATATGTATATATATAGAGAGAGAGAGAGAAGGAGGGAGGGAGAGAAAGAGAGAAATAAGATAGATACATAGACAGATAGATAAAGACAGAGATATCTTAGGTAGGTTTACTACTACCTAGACCAGCTTTTCTAATGACTGGTTATTAGCTGAAGCTACATCATGATCATCATCATCATCATCATCATCATCAGTGTATAATAGCTATCAATTATATAGCGCTTTTGCAAAGCACTTTACATGTTATCTCATTTGATCCTCACAACAGCCCTGAGAGGTAGGTGCTATTACTATCCCCATTTTACAGATGAGGAAACTGAGGCAAACTGGGTTAAGTGACTTGCCTGGGGTCACACAGCTAGTAAGTGTCTGAGGTCAGATTTGAACTCGGGTCTTCCTGCCTCTAAGTCCAGCCTCTATCCACTGTATTACCTGGCTTCCTACGTTGCTGCAATTAATAAATTTCTAATGATTTACTGGTAGATTGAGTGAGGCTTGGTGGGAAGTTGGATGGGAGCAGAAATGATTACACCTGGCCCTGCAGTGGTTCTACCAACCGCTCCATCTGTCATCAAGATTTAATTGAGCAACCACAAGGTATCTAACAATGTAGTGGATGCATAATAGAGAATAGATACTGTCCATGACCTCAAGGTCTAATAGGAGAAACACATGTGGTCAACAGAAATAATATAGATTTACAGTATTACTAAAATGTACTTGGCAAGGAGGGAACATCTGGCCTCCTCTTGGCAGGTTGGAAAATGGGCTGGATTAATCATAAAGCTCTCCTGGGTAAGGCAGGCTCTTAGTGGCAACTTAAAGAAGGGGAGGGATGGGACATGGTAGCCAGGCACAAGCCATTTGTATATTCCAGTCTCTCTGCTCCATCTCTCCCACTTTGCTACAGCCTCTCCCAGAAATGGAGTACAACGGGAACCCAGAGTCAGTGGGCTACAAGATCAAGTATACCCGATCCGATGGGCATGGCAAGACCCTGAGCCACGTGGTCCATGACCGGATCGAGCGAGAGTACACCATCGAGGACCTGGAAGAGTGGACCGAGTACCGAGTGCAAGTCCAGGCCTTCAATGCCATTGGGACTGGGCCTTGGAGCCAGACTGTTGTGGGCAGAACTAGGGAATCAGGTACTTCCGCTGCTCTACACCCTGACCCCACCCTGATACCGCCTAACAACACCCTTTGGAATTTTTTGTGCATGCATGTAGACACAGCTAGGGACTATTCCAGCATACAGTGTTATCTGAGCTGTTATAAAGGACAGGGGCAAAGAGAACAAAAATGTTCATTTGTATTCAGTTTGCATGTCATTTCTCAACCAAACAGAGTGATATTCTTCAGAGCACCTGTTCTCTTCCACAGCTTCCTAGTGCCTGCCTGCACCCCAGTCCCAAGTTAGATTCCCTATTCCCTTCAGGTGAGGCGGGCTGATCTAGACAAAGCTAGTTCTATGGAACATGCTACCTGCCTCATGACAAAATAAAAAGGACCAACTCCACTTCCCCAGAATAAGGCATACGTTTTTGGACACAGCCAATATGAGAATTTGTTTTGCTTGACTCCGTATTTGTTACAAGGGTTTTGTTTTTACTTTGATAGGTGTGAGGTAGGAGAAAGAAAATCACTGTTCATCGAAAAAATTATTTGTTTTAAATCTAGTTGGACTCTGCCTCTATGCCCACAGTCTTGACCATAGCATTAAAGATGTCTGCCTTTCCCCAAGGGGTCTGAGAGAGATTAAGACTGGAAAATGGAATGGAAGGTTCCTAGAAAACACAAGAATGAAGCCAGGTCTCTCTTCTCTCTCCCCACCTAGCAGTTGTCTAACTGTTAACCGGTTGCTAGGACCTCACATCCCTCTGGGTCGCAGTCAGTTGTCTGTTATTCACACATGAATTATCCACTTTATAGATTTGCCATGGCAAATTATTGATTCCAGGCTCACATCCCCAGGCCACCCAGCAAGTGCCTGAGTCTCCTCCCTCCTACTATCAGTTGTTATGTTCTCAAGACATGCAAACTCCTTTTAATAGTAACCAAAATATAATTAGGGAGATAGATCTCTAGTGGGAAAGGCTTGTAATGTATTCTGAAGCAAATAGAAGTCGGTGTGGAAATTATCTGCTATTGGGGAATTACCTCTGTCTCTTCTTCCTTTCATTAGTGGGGGGTATAGAAGGTTGACTGCGTTTCCCCCTCTTTGTGATGACCTTCTATACTCCCCATCAAAACTGAGAAGAATTTCAGTCGTGAGATGCTTTCTTCTACTGTCTCCTCTCCGACAGTTCCCTCCTCCGGTCCCACCAATGTGTCTGCACTGGCTACCACCTCAAGCAGCATGTTGGTACGCTGGAATGAAATTCCAGAGGCTGATCGAAATGGGCTTGTACTGGGCTACAAGGTGGGTTCTAGGATAAGAGAGAAGAAGGAAGGAGTCTGGAGTCTCACCACCCACAGCATCACTGTTGTGAGCTAACCTTTCCCTTGGGATCTCCAGTCCAGGGCCCTCTCATTGTGCAGGGAAGAGGATTTGGGTGGGAGGCAAAAGGACCCTTGCACCCTGGTTGAAGATGGCTCCAACTCCCCACGAATAGAGCAGTAGGTTGGGAATCCTGAATCTATGCTCATCTGTACCACTGATATGCTCTGTTACCTCCATTCAGTTACTATCCTTCTCTGGGTCTAGTTGCAAGAGGGACAATGTCTCCCCTATACTGGGTTTAAGAGGTTTTAAATACCCTAGCATCGTCTGCATTCTTTGGTATCCTTCCTAACATACATATCCGACATAATACTTAGTTCCCTGGGAAATCATGCCACACCATGCAAAGGCCCTTTCTGTACCCTATTCCTGGCTTTAACCCTTGGGGTTGGGATCCACTGGGGGTTTCCTGACTCATCCAGCCCTGGAACCCTCACACGGCCTGCCCTCTGTCTGTCCAGGTAGTGTACAAGGAGAAGGATTCTGACACTCAGCCTCAGTTCTGGCTTGTGGAAGGGAACTCATCTCTCAGCGCCCAGCTCACTGGTTTGGGCCGATATGTGCTCTATGAGATCCAGGTACTGGCTTTCACCCGTATCGGGGATGGCACCCCAAGCTCGCCACCTATCCTGGAGAGGACCCTTGATGATGGTGAGTCCACAGCTGAGGGACTCTGGGAATGAAACTCACCCCATATCCCATTTTAGATTATTTTTCCTTAGTCCTTTGCCCTTTATTGATGCTTGACCCTGGAGATTTGGTCCAGCTTGAAATTAAAACATAATTGGCTTTCCTGGAGGGAAAGCAACTGTGAGAAAAAAGCTTATCCTGCAGGGACTGCAATATTTACCTGCTGCGATTCATGAAGGACGTTAATAGAATAAGGATTAGGCTTGAGTTTTCACTGGTATAAGGAACTCCCAGGTGAAGAAATTCTGTCATTGCAGGGAACTGAAATTTGGGAATTTCTGGAGAGTTGTCTAGAGGACTAAGAGGTTAAGTGATTTGCCCAAGGTCACAGTATGTGACTGCCAGTATGTGTCAGAGATGGTACTTGAACCCAGGGCTTTCTACCTCTCTATACAACTCCATGCTGCCTCCTGAGGGCAGGAGACTCCACTAAAATCCTAGATTGTGACTTACTAAGAGGCAGCAGTTGGAGAATTTCTCAGTCTCTGCTTTAGTTTTCTGCTCACTCTAGGGTAAATTGCCAAAGATTCTTTGAACACCAACTTCCTACCCAATTTCGTTTTTATTTCAAGCTGGGGCAAATCTCCAGGGTCAAACATCAATAAAGGGCAATTACTGAGGAAGATGAGGAAGCTTTTCTTTCCTGTACTTTAGGTCCTTCTAGGTCTTTTTTTTTTTTAACAGACGCGGTACACACAAGTCAAGACATCACCCTTATGATGTCATTGGTCCTCTTAGAGAATGTAGGATAAACAACAGCAAAAATCCCTGTTAGATTGTGCTGACTGACCCCTAGGCAGTCAAAAAGGATCTCTAAACATGGACTCCAGTCTCTGTTATTCCTGCCTGTACCCCTTTCCCACTGACCTTCCCACCCACCCCCATCCCCTCAGTTAAATCCATGCAACTGGAGGTAAACTAAGACTCAGAGCTTCATGGGGGATCTCACTATGACCCTGTTTCCCATTCTAGTCCCAGGACCTCCCATGGGCATTCTTTTCCCAGAGGTGAGACCCACATCAGTCCGGCTGATTTGGCAGCCTCCAGCTGCCCCTAATGGCATCATATTAGGTAAGCCTCAATCCTCTGGTTTCTGGAAATATGAAAGGTTTATGCTCTTCTGTGTCTGTGTTTGTGTCTGTGTGTGCATGCGTACACACACATGCTGCTAGACTTGTGATTTTTTTTCATTGTATGGAATTCCTAGACTCCCCTGTAACTGTCTGGGAGAGTTGCCTGGAACACGAAGAGATTAAGTGATTAGCCCAGGGTCAAACAGCCAATATGGCTGAACTTGAACCCTGGTTTTTCCTGACTTGAGAGAAAATCCCATCATCCTGGAATTTGCTGTCTCTCAGATTGTTAGAGAAGGTTCGTGTTTAGAGATTGGAAGATACAGGTGAGGGCTTCAGTTTTCAAAGGTTCCTAAATCAAGGGCAGGTGAAGCCAAGATTGCCTACAGACAGTGAGGAGCATAAGTGTTGAAAAGAAACTCCAATTAAATATGGATTAAGCACAAGCAAATAAAGGAGCAGCTAGGTGCCACAGTGGATAGAGTGCTGGACTCAGAATCAGGAAGACTCATTCATCTTCCTGAGTTCAAATCCAGACTCAGACATTTACTAGCTATGTGACCCTGGGCAAGTCACTTCACCCTATTTGCCTCAGTTTTCTCATCTGTAAAATGAGCTGGAGAAGGAAATGGCAAACGACTCCAAGTATGTTTGCCAAGAAATCCCCAAATGGGGTCATGAAGAGTCGGGCATGACTAAAATGACTCAAGAACAAAATTAAGAGGTAGGGAACTCAAGAAATATGCAGCCTTCCCATTCCACCCAAGTCCAGTGATTGGCCTTGTTCTACAGGAGTACCCTGAATCTCAGAGTAAAAAGCAAGATATCTCCTGGGTCTGCTTTTCTTGAGCCCAAACCAAGAAAATGGTAAAGAAAAAGCAGAGACCTTTGATGGTCCAGAAAGCAGTCCCTGTTCTCAATTTCCCCTAAGAGCCACTGACATTGGTAAACCAGACTATTCCCTCTTATCCAATCAAATAAACAAAGCTTTTCTCTCCATTTTGAGCACCACCCCAATAGAAAATCCTTCCTGGCTAAAGTCCACCCTACAATCACACCAACTCCCAGTTTTTATTTTATGCCATCTTTGGGCATTAAATATAGATATACACATATATCTACAGATATACATATATATATGTGTGTGTATATATAGCATATAACAACATATATATATATATATATGTATTTGGTTAGCCATTTTTTCAGTTGTGTACAACTCCTCATGGCCTCATTTGGAGTTTTCTTGGCATTTCCTTCTCCAGGTCATTTTACAGATGAGGAAAATGAGGCAAACAGAGTTAAGTGACTTGCCTACGGTCACACAGCAAAGAAGTGTCTGAGGCCAGATTTGAACTCAGGAAGATGAGACTTCCTGACTCCAGGCCTAGCACTTGATCCACTGTGCCACCAAGCTGCCCCATATATGTATATATGTGTATGTATATACATATATACACATGTACTATATATACATACGTGCATGCATACATGTGGATATGTATTCTAGATAGATGAGGAGGAGGAAAAGGTAGTGGTGAACATAGGCACACATATAATTCCTGCTCTCTCTATATCTATTTGCATGTCTGTCTCTATACCATAAAAATGGATTTCTAAACTGTAAACTCCTTGAGACAAAGGGTGTAAGTTTCCCAGAACTGGTTATAGCAATTTCTTAAAAAAAAAAAAAAAATATACTAGAAAAAAAGATCACCTGATCCTGCTGTGCTAAAAAGCTTTTTGTAAGCCTTAAAGCACTGTATCAATTTGAGGGTTTTATTAGCATTATTAATGTTATTATAAAGATGTATTCATTTTGTAGCAGCCACAAATTGTACCTGCCATTCTGTCCACTTTCCTGTGAATTATATACTTGTGGCTATGAGGAAAATTAGGAGATAGTCAATGACTCACTCAATGCAACTCTGTATGTGGGTATATGTGTGTGTATGTGAGAGAGAGACGGACTGGGTATGAGTGGGTATGGTGAGCATACCCTGCTGTACTTGTGATTTTATCTTTGTAAGGAACTCTTAGATTCCTCAGTCACTATCTTAAAGAGTTGCCTTGTATACTGAGGCAGATGAAGGCTAAATGAATTGCCCAGGGTCACATAGCTAATATGGTTTGACTGGAACCCTGGTTTTCCTAAGGTGAGGCCAGCTCTCTCACCATCTCCATACCGTGCTACCTCTTAGATAACTCTCTAAGACTGTTAGTTGCAGAGATATCTATATGCATTGATACATTTTCTCCACCAGAGAAAATCCCTACACCACTGAAATCATAATGCTAGTCCAAAATATAAACATACATAAATATATATTTGTATGTTTCATATTTATATTTACACACCCATTTTCTATAGAATATCAATGATATCATATTAAAGACTGAAAGAATGGGCTATTTCTGCTTTGTATACAATGCCCCCTAGTGCCTGGTCCCAGGAGTTAGCATCTTTTACCAGTTAAGTGCCGTGTTGCTGATTCTTGATCACAAATGCCATGTCATTCCTCACCTGGTCTAGTGTCACTAGTTCAAAAAACAATCATTTAAAATGTATTAGGTGAGTAAATTGGTGAACTTTTAAGTGAAAAGAGTCCTAACTCAAAGATGTGACGTAGGGCCCTCTCTGCCTATGGGAAAGGGTTGGGTGAACTGAAGGGTGTGGGGGAAAGAGTCTATCCCGCTTTCCAGTATTATCCTGCTTCTCCACAGCTTACCAGATTACCCACAGGCTCAACACTACTACAGCCAACACTGCCTCGGTGGAGGTGCTAACCCCTAGTGCCCGCCAATATACAGCCACTGGTCTCAAGCCTGAATCTATCTACCTATTCCGCATCATGGCCCAGACCCGTAAGGGCTGGGGGGAGGCAGCTGAAGCACTTGTGGTGACCACAGAGAAGAGAGGTAACTGCCTGGGAATGACTGGGAAAGATTGAGATGATGTGGGAAGATAACAAGGAAAATTGGAATCCCAAGTCCTGTGGATCTTTCTCTTGGGTGGGACAAGGGATGCTAGCCTGATAACCCCCTAGGAACTCTGGGGAAAAGTCTAGATCAAAGCTAGGTCTCAGAAACTCTGAAATTAAAGTCAATGGCCATTAATAAGCCTGAAGAGCTCAGATGAAATTCAGTAGTCAATAAACATTTGTCAAGCATCTACTATGTGCCAGGCACTGCAGGCTAAGTGCTGGGAGATACAAAAAGAGGCAAAAGACAGTTCCTGCTCTCAAGAAGCTCACAATCTAATGGGGGAAACAAGAAGAAAACAAATATGTACAAATAATATATATAAAGGATAAATGGGAAATAATTAAGAGCAGAAAGGGACTAGAATTAAGAGGGCTTGTGAAAGGCTCCCTATAGAAGATGGGATTTTAGTTAGGATTTAAGGGAAGCCAAGGAAGCCAGAAGGTAAAGATGAGAAGGAATAGCATTCCAGGCATGGGTTCAGCCAGAGAAAACATCCAGATCTGAAAGATTGTTCATGGAACACTATTCATGTTATTCATGGAATATCAAAGAGGCCAGTTTCACTAGACTGAAGAGTACATGCGGGGAGGAAGGTGTAAGAAGACTGAAAAGGTGGGTAAAGGCTAGGTTATGAACAACTTTGAATGCCAAAGGATTTTTAACTTGATTCTGGAGGTTATAGGGAACCATTGGAGTTAATTGAGTTGGGGGTAGGTGGAACAGCAGAAAGGACAGAAAGGACCTGTGCTTTAAGAAAATCACTTTGGTGACTAAATGGAGAATGGACTGAAGTGGGGAAAGGCTTAAGGCAGGTGGGCCCACCAACAGGTTACTGCAGTCATCCAGTTGTGAGGTGATGAGGGCCACTAGAGTGGCAGCAATGTCAGAAGAGAGAAAGGAATGTATTTAAGAGATGTTGAAAAGGTAAAATGAACAGGTCTTGGCAACAGATTGGATATGAGGGGGTAAGAAATAGTGAGGATTCCAGGATGACTCCTAGATTTTGAACCTGAAGGACTGGGAGGATGATATTACCTTCTATAGTAATAAAGAAGTTGGGGAGGGGGAAAGTCGGTTTAGAGGGAAAGATAATGAGTTTGATTTGGTACATGTTGAGTTTAAAATGTTTACTGAATATCCAGTTTGAGGTGTCTGAAAGGCAGTTGGAGATGTAATATTGGAGGTCAGGGTGGGGATAGATAGCTCTGGTTATCATTAACATAGAGATGATAACTAATTCTGTGGAAGCTGATGAGATCACCAAGTGAAATAGTGCAGAGGAAGAAGAGAAGAGGGTCCAGGACAGAACCCAATGGATCATCTCTGGTTAGAAGGCATAATCTGAGGACTCTGCAAAGAAAGTAGTTAGGTAGGAGGAAAATCAGGAGAAAGTGGTGTCCCAAAAACCTAGGGAAAAGAGAGTATCAAGGAAGAGAGGGTGATCAACAGTGTCAAAAGCTGCAGAGAGGTCAAGAAGAATGAGGATTGAGAAAAGGTCATTGGATTTGGCAATTAAGAGATCATTGGTAACTTTGGGGGTTTTTTGTTGTTGTTATTTTTGGGTTTTTTTTTTTTTTAGTGAGGCAATCGGTGTTAAGTGACTTGCCCAAGGTCACACAGCTAGTACGTGTCAAGTGTTTGGTCTGAGGCTGGATTTGAACTCAGGTCTTCCTGACTTGAGGGCTGGTGCTCTATCCACTGCACCACCTAGCTACCCCTGATTATTGGTAACTTTGGAGAGGGCAGTTGGAATGTTATGGTCAGGAGCCAGATTGTAAAGGGTTAAGAAGAGAGTGAGAGGAGAAAAAGTAGAAGCCCCTATTGTAGAGTCAATGTATTGTCTCCCTTCCTTCCCACAGGTATCCCATTCCAGATAATCATCACAATGGAACAATTTCTCAGTTTTCTCTAGGGAGTTCACCAGTTCTCTCCCACAGAGTCTTGTCCAGTACCTTTGAATAGCTCAGATGGCACACCCATCTGAAGACTGGAGCTCTGCTTACCATTGTCTCTCTGAAACTACTCTCTCCAAAGTTACTGATCTTCTCTGCACTTTTCTCTGCACTCATCCTATTTATCCTCTCTTCCTGCAGCATCTGACACTGTTGACCACCCTTCTCATCTCGGATACTCTCTCCTTTCTAGGTTTTCAGCACACTCGCACCTGTCTGACCACTCTTTCTCAGCCTCTGTTGCTAGATCTTTGTCCATGCCATGCCCCCTCACTGGGGGTATAAGCCCAAGACTCTGAACTACCCTTTCTCACTTATCAGTTTAGGCTTCATTAGCTCCCATGAATTTGATCATCATCTCTATGTAAATGATTCCCAGATCTATATTTTTAATCCTAACTCTCCTAAGCTCTAGTCCTGCATCACCAACTAACTGCCTATTGGACATTTCAAAAGGGATATCCCAGAGACATCTCAGATTCAAATTCCAAAATGGAGCTCATTCTCTTTCTCCAAAAACCCATCTCTATTCTGAACTTCTCTCTTTGTGTTGAGGACACTTCCATCCTTCCAGTCATACAGGTTCACAACTTATGTACCCCACATTAAGTAATTGAAAAAATATTATAATTTCTGCCTCCACCAACTTCTCTGGAATTTGCCACCACCCTAGTTCAGACCTTTGTCATCTCTTATCTGGGCTATTTTGTTGAGTTTTGTTGTTGTTCAGTTGTTTTCAGTCATGTTTGACTTTTTGTGATTCCATTTGGGGTTTCCTTGGCAAAGATACTGGAAGTGGTTTGCCATTTCCTTCTCCAGCTCATTTTACAGATGAAGAACTGAGGCAAACAGGGTAAAGTGACTTACCCAGGGTCACATAGCTAGTAAGTTTCAGTCATGTCTGATTATTTGTGACTCCATTTGGGGTTTTCTTGGCAAAGATACTGGAGTGGTTTGCCATTTCCTTCTCCAGTTCATTTTACAGATAAGGAACTGAGGCAAACAGGGTTAAGTGACTTGCCCAGGGTCACACAGTTAGTTAGTATCTGGGGCTGGATTTGAACTCAGGTCATTCTGATTCCAGGCCTGGCATTCTATTTACTGAGCCATCTAGCTGCCCATTTTAATAGTCTCCTCCTTATCTCAAGTCTCTCCCCACTCCAGTCCCTCCTCCACATAGACACCAAAATAGTTTTCCAAGCACAAATCTGACCATATCACACATAATCCCTTACCGAATAGACTCCAATGGCTCCCTATTGCCTCTCGGACCAAGTATAAATTCCTTTGTTTGACACTGAAAGCCCTTCCCAATCTGGCTCCAACCTGCCTTTCCTGTGAATTATTCCCCTCTACATACTCTGCAGTCTAGCCATTGTATCTCCCATCTCCTTTCCTTTGCACTGGCTATCCAAAGGGCCTGGAAGGCATTCATTCCCCACCTCTGGTCTCTTGAGATCTCTGGTTTCCTTCATCACCCGGCTCAAACTCCACTTTCTGCATGGGCCTTTCCTGGTCTCCCCGCCTGTTAACTTTCCTCCACATGCACACGTAGTATCACCTTCTATTTGTTTTGTTGGTTTTTTGCATGATCCTATATATACATGCACTTTTGTGATTGTAAACTCCTTGAAGACAGGGCCAGTTTTACTCAGTGCCTGACACGTAGGAGGCGCTCTGCAAAAGGACATCAATTGATTGCCCCTTGTTGTCAGGACACCACTCTCGAAAGCAGAATTCATCAGCTCAGGCTCTTGCTGTCTTCTCTCTAACCTGAACGGTGCCAACAGGGCACATGCCCTCCTGCTGTCTAGGGTTATTCAATGATAAATTTGACTTTCCTTGTGTCTCCCCCCTCTTACAGACCGCCCACAGCCTCCTAGCAAGCCAGTGATAAAACAGGAGAATGTGAAGGCACGGAGCGTGCTGCTGTCCTGGGAGCCTGGTAGTGATGGCCTTTCCCCCGTCCGCTACTACACCATCCAGACCCGGGAACTCCCCAGTGGCAAGTGGGTCCTGCACTCCTCCTCCGTGACCCACAATGCCACTTCATTTGTTGTGGACAGGTAAGATTCTCCCAACCCCTATCTCTTGGATACTGCTTCAGTACTGAGAATCCTCCCTGCCCAAGCAGAGCATTTGTTTACATTTCATTTGTTTCATGGAAAGGGCTTCACAAAACAGTTCCAGCCTGAAACCCCATCCACCCCCATTCTCCAAATCCCAACCTTCTAGTCCATTCAGTAGTTTCCAACCTTCTTGTAATGGGGGTTTGGGACCCATTACATTCTGAGTTTCACCTTCCCATTCAGTCATCTGCCTGGGTCCCCCTCCCTCCATTCTAACCAGCTTCTCCTCCTTGCCTGGCTCCAACCCAGCTTCCTATGGTGCCTTATTAGAATTTCTTCTTTATTGTACATTTCTGGAACCCAGAGTACAGTATCAGTGGGGTGCTTTGCAGTCTTTCATTAACCATTCTCTGCAACCACAGCATTTTTCTCCTCATCTTTAATAGGGAAACTGAGCCACACTACCGATTGCTGGCTTTAATGTAATTTAATTTTCAGTAGGTTATATTTTTATTCTCTACTTTATATGAGCAAGAATTTCAACTACCATTTTTGAAAAATTAAAAAGAAAGAAATTGAAGCTTGAAGCAATGTACTCCACGTTAACTCTTTGGTTATTTGACTCTTTTCAAGTCTCTTGAATGCAAGGAGAGGATGGCAGTATCTGGGGAAGAGCTAGCTCAGATCTCAGCAAATTGATGGTACTGTCCTTGGTACTAAAGTGAGAGTGAGAGAAGGAGACTGACAGAAACAGAGAAAGAAAGACAAAAACAGAGAGAGACAGAGACACAAAGACAGAGACAAAGAGCACATGTGTGCGTGCACGTGTCACACACACTGTACTTGCAGCTTGAAATGAATACATGTGTCCTCAGCAGCTTTCTGCTCACAGCTAGATCTTAAAGGAAGTCAGAAAATTAAACTACCATGAGCTGAGAAATTTGGGACAGTGGTCTCTGGTCTTGATTTATCCCTCTCCTTGTTTGCTGTCTGCTGTTAACAGAGGTGAGATAATGCATTTACACTTAGTAGGCCAGGTTTGAAACTTACAGCCCCACTACCCTTCGATAAATTTGGAAATTTTGGTCCCTGCATGTTACTGTCCAAAGGGGACTTTGAGCCTTCACTGTAATACATGCTTTAATTACCACTTGCATGCTGTGGAAAGCACAGTTTTATGGAATGAAACATTTGTGCATTCTAATGTGAGTGATTATAATGGCCAACCTTGGTCACCAAAAAGAGATGAGGAAGCATCTGCCTCCTTTCAGTAGAGTTGGGAGACCATGGATGTGGAATGTTATATACACCATGAGACAAGATCACTGTGTCACTTGATTTTGCTTAACTATTCTTTCATTGTTACAAGTGAGAACTCACTAGGGAAAGAGGTGAGAGTTATATCCAGATATGATGGGTGCAAAGCTAAAAGCTTAGCATTATACATATACATATGTATGTACATATACATATATATGTATATATGTGTATATATGTGTATGTTTATACATATATATGCCTCTGTGTGTGTATATATATATAATGTATATATATAAAATGCTAAGTATCCAGATATGATGCTCTAAGTACATCCACATTCAGAAGCTATTGCTTGGATTGCTTTGGGTTTCTCGCTCTGGGTTTCTTTGGGATGTAAGAGAAGAGCAAATGCTTTAAGCTAAAAGGCATCAATGAAACATTATTTTAAAATAAATGAATGTAGCTTCTGTACAATGAGTAGATTACTGAGGGTGGAGACAAGAAGACTCTTCATTCAATCTCCACCACGGATGCTTACTAGCTGTGTGACTACTGGCAAGTCGGTTAACTTTTCTCTGCCTCAGTTTTCTCATCTGTAAAATGAGGGAGTCAGACTCAATAGCCTCTGAGGAGGTCCCTTCCAGCTTCAAGTCTATGACCCAATGATCCTGCATAAATTTATAAATGGTAATATCCAAAGTATCCTTATCACACCACTATGTATGGTACGTTAGATGTCTTGCCTATCTTACCTACCCCTACTTATAGTACTGGATGTTGACCTAATCAATTAACCTTTCCAGGATTTAGTTTTCCCATTTGTAACTTGGGACTGAGAATACCTATGCCCCTTCTCACCAGCTCAGGATGGGCAAATGAGCACAAAGGGGTCAGAGGCTAGGGAGGTCCTATTGGAACCTGGGCTATTATTCGTTCGTTTAATCGCATCATCTCTTTATTTCATCCCAGGCTGAAGCCCTTCACCTCCTACAAATTCCGAGTCAAATCAACCAACGACATCGGGGACAGTGAATACAGTGAAGAATCAGAATCCCTCACCACGCTACAGGCTGGTCAGTGGCCCTTTCTCCTCCCCAGGCTATGATGTAGCCTTAGCTTGAGCCATTTCCTGGAGCTACAAGGGGGCAGCAGCTACTGTGTGCATCCCCCATCTCTCTCAGCCCTTAAGGTGGGAGAAGTCACAGGATAGCCTCTGTTTGGAGTTCCAGGAGAGCGGAGAGTGACCAGTCTTAATATGGCCACAGGCTTAGGAGGGCAAGGAGGGGAAAAAACTCAAGGTTACCAGTTTAAATGATATTAAATGGTAGCTGCCAGGTTGTATAGTCACTACCCTTGTCTCTGGTTCAAGTATTTGCTCTTTTCTCACATCCTAAAGAAATCCAGAGTGAGAAACCCAAAGCAGCCCAAACCATGGCTTCTGAATGTGGATGTACTTAGAGCATCATCTCAGAAACCACCATGGACCTAAAGAACAAGGCAAAAGGAGCCAGACACACCTAAACCCATTGGAGTTTAGGCTGCATTAAAGCCCCTGAGATGGTTGTCCACTGTCCTTGGTCCTTCCCTTGTAGTCCCCAGGAGACCCCTCTCCCCCTCTCTGAAGAAGTCAGATTGGCCTCATTTTCCCCCAGTTAGGGGGTAATTCTCCTGCCCCCAGCACCATGAAGCTCGGAAGGGTTACTGACACTGGTCTGCTAACATCAAGAGATCATAGGACTCAGAAGGCTCTGAGTTCCTGGTTGTCACCATTTTCCCTCTCTCCCCAGCCCCAGAAGAAGCTCCCACCATCCTCTCCGTCACCCCTCACACCACCACTTCAGTACTGATCTCCTGGCAGGTATGGAGGGCCTGGAAGGTCGAGGAGGGGTGGGATGACCTTTTTCTAAAGACATGGGGATATATGCTCTATGCTGAGACCCAACCCTTAGGAAAGCCTTAAGGAATGGACCTAATACTTCTTTTAGATAGAAAATGAAAAGCCACCAAGGAGAGAGATTAACTACATTGGGGAGAAAGGGTAGCTTCTCCTAAAGCACATGTACAAGGATTGCACTGAAGATATATACAGGAGGGACTTATCCAAGTCCAGATTCCCAGCAATCAAACCTAGAAATAGGTATGTGTCCCTTATTTTACACACACTTTCCTTCCTAGCTTTGTGCTTGAAGCTTTTTTTTTTTTAGATTCTTTCTTTCCAGGGAAATCAGCAGTCTCCTCCCCCCCTTCTTCAGTTCTCGCACATGTTCACTGATGCTTTCCCCCACCCTACCACCACCATCACCAATGAGCTTGTTATTATAGCTCTATGCCTGAGGAGAATGAGAAGATTTGGGGCAGGGTGCCAGGTTCCTATCAGTGACCTTCTGAGCCCTTCCCTTGCCCTCTTCTCAAATCCTCCAGTCTCTTCCTGGGAAGAATTCCTGATATTGGCCCTCAATGTCCAAAGGACAGTGATATAGGCTCTACCTTAAAGGATTCTAGGCTTAAGCTGCCCTACTCTTCTGCAGATAGGATCCTGGATCAATGAATGAATGAAAAAAAAAAACAAAAAACAAAAAACTCTTAAGCACTAGGGATACCTAGAACAATTGAGAGCTCTTGTTCCCAAAGAGCTCTCTCTCTCTCTAATAGGAGGAGACAATAAATAAAGAAAGTCTGTGATCAACTATGAATGACTTAGCTCTTCTCAGCAACACAGTGATCCAAGACAATTACAAAGACTCATGATGGAAAATGCTATCCACATCCAGAGAAAGAACTATGGAGTCTGAATGCAAATCAAAGAATACTTTTTTCACTTAATTTTTTTCATGGATTTTTTTTTCCTTTTAGTCTGTTTCTTCTTTCACAACTGTAACTAATATGGGAATATGTTTTACATGATTGCACATATATAATCTATATCAAATTGCTTACCATTTTAGGAAGAAGGGAGGGAGAAAAATTTGGAACTCAAAATCTTATAAAAATGAATGCTAAAAATTGTCTTTACATATAATTGGGGAAAAATAAAATGCTATTAAAAAATTAAAAGGCAAAAAAGAAGTGTCTGACTACAGGGCAGTCAGAAAGGTCCCAAAATCCTAAGGCTGCAGAAGAGAGGTAGATAGCAAGGCCCAGAAGCCCTTAGATTATATACGTGGTTATGATGGCCATTCTATAAGCCTGCAAAGTATGGAGGCAGAGTAGATGGTAAGGCCTGAAGTTCTCCCATCTTATCAGAAGGAATGGAGTTGTTGATTTTGATCTCATGTAAAGCCCTGTGAGTAGTCAGGCAGCATGGGAAAAGGGGAGAAGATGCCCTTGTTGTTGGCAGCAATGTTACCTGCCTTCCTGTCACCTGCATGGGTTCTGGGATGGCCTGGGACAGAGGGAGAGCACAGAAGAGAACAACAAAGTGGGAGGGTACCAGCTTTTCCCATCAACCAACTATTCTGGATGGGCTCTGGGGCAGCCCCTGTCAACGAGACAGAGAGAGAGGAAGGTAAAGCAAGAGAAGGGGACCCCGGTTTCCATTGTTCTGGGACTGGGTGGGGAGGAGAGGGCTGAAGGCAAAGGGGGCGGCTCACCTTCCAATGGTGGGGGCTGTTCCCTTAGTCAGCTATCTCAGCTATGGAAAGAGTTCCCACTCTGACCCCTAGCCTAAGGGAGATAGCATCTAGTCTAAATTTCGTGAGTTTTACTTTTGAGATCCCAGAGCCCTTTGAATAAAAATGCCCTGTCTCCTCCAGCACTACCTCAAGAAGTCACGGCTTAAAACCAGAGCAGTAGGATAGCAGAGAGCATGAAAACCCCACCAGCCGGCTGAGAGGCAATTAAAGGGCTAATTAAAGCAAGAACCATTTCAGCAGGTTTCATAAATTTGGTATCATTTAAAAAATAAAAAAGGATCTCCCAGATGCCTCTTCACTACCCTAAGCTACACATAAAATCCCTGTGGATGGGGGCTATGAGCAGTGAAAAGGAGGGCAAAGCATGTGTGTGTGTGTGTGTCTCTGTGTGTCTGTGTATGTGTTCATCAGCTGGATGATTCAGGGGACCCTCTGTCATAGCTTCCCAGAAACCCTAAGGAAAGTTGGGCCAACGAGTTTAGAATGAAGGATCATCAGTCCTAGGGGAGACGGCACCAAGCTTGAAAGAAAGGCAACAGCAGCATCTAGGACAAAAAATTGGGTTTCTGGATCCATTAGTAACTTGTTTTATCTTTCTCTGGGCCTAAGCTTCTCCCGTTGTTAAATGGGGAATAAGAATAATAATAACAATAACAATAATAATAATACCTGATCCTCCCTACCTCACAGGGATCTTAGGAATAGGAGGTAATAGATGTAGAGATAGGAACTGAACCTATGATTTCACTGGTATGGGGAGGTTGGGAGGGTGGGGCTTCTGAATGAGGAAACTCCTTCTCCCAATGCAGGTCAGTACCTTCTCCTCAACTTTTAGACTCACCAGCTAGGTAGTACAGTGGGTAGAGAGCTGAACTTGGAGTTAGAAAGACCTGAGTTCAAATCCTGCCTCAGATACTTACTAGTTGTGTGACCCTGGGCAAGTCACTACAACCTCTGTCTGCTTCAGTTTCCTCATATATAAAATGAAGATAATAATATCACCTGCCACCCAGGGTTGTTATGAGGACAAAATAAAATAATATTTGTAAAGTACTTTGAAACGTTAAAGCACTATATAGATGCTTTTTATCTTATCGTTGCCATATAAATTATATTTTATATTATATAAATGCTTATTAAGAAGTTAATTGGGGGCAGCTAGGTAGCTCAGTGGATAGAGCTCTGGCCTTGGAGTCAGGAAGACCTGAGTTCAAATCCAGCCTCATATACTTGACTCTTACTAGCTGGGTGACCCTGGGCAAGTCCCTTAACCCCGATTGCCTTACCGAAAAAAAAAAAAAAAAAAGAACAGAAAAGAAAAAAAGATTAAAAAAAAAGTTAAGTGACTTACCCAAGGTCATACAGCCAGTACACCACAAAGCAAGACTTGAATTCCAGTGTTTGTGGCTCTGAGGCTATCATATATGTCAAAAGTCCTTCCTCTAACTCAAACACCATGCTGCCGCTCTTTGTGAGAATTGTTGTGTTTTTGTTTTGGGGTTTTCTTTTGTTTTTTTTAAAGCACAGTGCCTGGTTCATAGTAAGTACTTAATAAATACTTGTTGACTTGACTTTGAAAAATTGTATTATTTTTATCTTCATAGTGCAGATAAATCCACTGTTAAAACATTGCAACAGTAGGGACCTGTATACCATAGTTCAAATTTATATGACATTCTACAGTTTATGGATTTCCCTGGCTTTCTTTAACACTCCACTCATATCCCATTTGCTATGAGAGGCCATTCCTGGTTCCCGCCCCTACTCGCACCTTCCCTCCCCTTCACATTGCATATATCCTGTATACCTAACTGTTTTGTCCCTCATTGGAACGAAAGCTTCTTGAAGGCAGGGGCTATTTGTTTTTTGCTTTTCTCGGATTCCCCAGTGCTTAGCATAGTGCCCAGCACACAGTAGGTGCTTCAGGAATGTTTGTTGACTGAGTGACTTTCATCCCAACAACTCTGAGTAGAATAGAGCAAGGCTTATGTTGCCCTTTTGGCAGATAAGGAATCTAAGTTTCAGAGGGATGGTTACCTAAAGTCACACAACTAATAAATATTGACACCAAAACTCAAAACCAGGTCTTCTTTCAAGTTCAGTGTTCCTTCTGCTTTCTCCCTCTCCACACAACCCCCCCATGACTTCCATCCCAACAACAGATTACTGTCACCTTTTTTTTTTTTTTGAGGCAATCAGGGTTTTAAGTGACTTGCCCAGGATCACACAACCAGTGAATGTCTAAGGCCAGATTTGAACTCAGGTCCTCCTGACTCCAGGGGAAGTGCGCTATCCCCTGTGCCACCTAGCTGCCCCAACTGTCACCTTTCAAGAGGAGAGGGCTGAGCTGAAACCCGCTTGTATCATCTTATACCGATCAAGGCAGTCAATTATTAAGCTTTCAGCATGAGCCTTTAAACCTCAGAAATCAGAAATCAGGGCTTGAATTTTGTTTTGTTGATTGTCTATACTTAAGAAAGTGAGGGAGAAAATGTTTATAATGCAAGTGGTGTGTGTCCTGAGTACTCCCCCTGCCCCCGAACCCCCACCACCACCCACTTGTTAAATATTTACCAGCACATCCAGTGCATATAGAAGAAGTGTACTTGAAAGAACGAATAAATGATAGAGAAGGGTGTGAGGAAAGTATATGTCAGTAAACAAGCATTTATTAAGAACTTACTATGTTCCAGGCACCATGCTACACACCGGGGGTACCAAGAAGGCAAAACCAATCTTTACCCCCAAGGAGCTCTCACCTTCTAATGGGAGAGAAAACATGAAAATGACTGTGTACAAACAAGATATAGACAGGGTATATTGGAGGTAATTTCAAAGGGGAAACACTAGCATTAGGGACAAAGGCTTCTTATAGAAAATGAGGTTTTAGCTGAGACATGAAGGAAGTCAAGACACAGAGATGACAAGGGAAGGAATTCTAGGCATGGGGACAGCCAGAGAAAATACAGAGTTGTGAAATGGAGTGTCTTACACGAGAAATCTCAGGAGGCCAGTATTCCAGGACTACAAAGTACCTGGAGGGAAGTAAGGTGTAAAAAGAATGGAAAGATAGCAAGGGGCCGGGTTATGAAGGTCTTTAAAAGCCAAACCAGATTTAATGTTTGATCCTGCAGGTAGTAGGGAGCCACTAGGGTTTATGGGGAGGAGGTGGGAGGGTGACAGTCAGACCTGTGCATAGGAAGATAGCATGTGATTTTACATGTTTATGATTTGGAATATCTGCCCCTTCACAAGTGTATGATGTAGAATATATCCCCCTTGGGTCCCCTCCATCTCCAGCCACCAGCTGAAGACAAAATCAATGGGATCCTGCTAGGCTTCCGGATACGTTATCGAGAGCTGCTCTATGAAGGGTTGCGAGGCTTCACGATGCGAAACATCAATAATCCCAGTACCAAATGGGCTGAGCTCACCTGTGAGTACAGAGGCTTGGGAAAGGGGGGAAGGGGGGAAGGGGATGGAGGAGAGAAGGGAAGAGGGAAGAAGGGAAGAGATGTGGGGATCCTCCCCAACCCTAGCAAGACTCCAGTGATGCCTGGCATCCTATCCTCAAGCTCTGACTCCCCTCTTTGTTGCTCAGTCTGTTCCTGGAGCCAGCCCTTCAGCCATCTGATAGCCTTGAAACCCCCAGCATCTCTTTCAGCCCCTTCTTTCCTCCTTCCACCCTCATCCTCTGTTCCAGGCTTAGTAGCTCCAGGATATCCTTCTTCTTGCTTGCTGTCAAACATTAATGATTTAGATTAGATGGTGATAACTTTATTCTATTCCATAGCACAGGGACTGCACAACATAGAAGTGGCCTACCCAGGGGCACCCCCCTCCCTAGAGCTTGGCTCTCTACCTTTGGGGGAAAGGTCTCAAAGCAGGCAAAATATCCCAGAAAATCAGTGGGATTCAGTCTAGCAATAAAAAGCTCTATCATAAAAGAATGGTATGATCTTAAGGAAGTCTGTCACCATGTCTAAGCCATCATTCTGTTTACAAAGTCCTTGTAAGACCTCATTTTTCTGCCTGACCCCAATAAAATAGAGGCATCACACACACACACACACACACACACACACCCTGCATGTGTAACTTAATACTTGAAGAATCTATCAACAGGGGGTAACTACATGGTTCAGTGGATAGAGTGCCCAGCCTGGAGTCATTTCAAATTCAGCCTCAGACACTTACTAGCTATGTGATCTGAGCAAATCACTTCACCCTGTTTGCCTCAGTTTTCTCATCTGTAAAATGAGCTGGAGAAGGAAATGGCAAACCACTCCAGTATCTCTGCCAGGAAAACCCCAAATGCAATCACAAAGAGTCGAGCGCTATTAAAAGCAACTGAACCAAGAAAAAAGAAAAAAAGAATCCATCAACAAGCATTTAAGGGCATGCTATGTGCCAAGTACTGTGCTAGGCGCTGAGGATAGATACAAAGGCAAAGAATGAAACAATCTCTGCTCTCAAGGAGTTGACATTCTAACAAATCTGTGACTTCACTGATGTGGGTTCCCCCTCCACCAAGGCTGATCACAACCACTCTACCACTTCATAAGAGGCCTCCAGAAGTCCTGTAGCCAAAATATTCATCACCCTGCATCCGAACTGGTATGGAGCCTCTCTGAACTTAGCTAGGCTAATCCTCAAATAGCAGGTGTATAGTCCATTGACAGACTCCCACTCAAATCCTCTCTGACTTGGTAGGATGTGCCAGAGCTTGAGTAGTCTTTGAAAATGCAGGATTGCCTCTGTACCACAAGGAGGGATCAAAGGAGAAATTCAAGGGGAGGATACATATACTTATGTGACCGGGGAGGGGGGGAGAGGAGTGGAGGAGGGAGAAAAGAGAGTGCATGAGAATTAGAAATCAATAGACAAACATAGATATAGAAAAATAATTAGAGATGATATAGATAATTAAAGATAGATAATCAAAAATAGAAACATAACTAGACAGATACAGATAGGTAATAGATAATTAGACATCTACACAAAGATAATTGGAAATGATAGAGATAATTAGATATATAGAAAAATAGAGATGATAAAGAGATATAGAAAGATAGACATAGATAAAGAAAAAAATAGACAAAGATAGAAAGATAATTAGGAACAGATAATTAGAGATAGATTGGTAGATAATAGAAGGCTAGAGGTAGATTATTAGATAGATATAGAAAGATAACTAGTCAGAGATGATAGATAAAGAGAAAGAATTAGAGACTAATAGATAAACAGATATAGAAAAATAATTAGATTATATAGATAATTAGTGATAGATAATCAAAGCTAGAAAGATAATGACAGAGATACAGATAGATAATCAGATAAACATAGATATATAGAAAGATAACTAGAGATTATAAATAAGATAGAAATAGGTAGAGACATACAGAAAAATAGAGATGATAGAGATAAACAGATAAAGAAAAATAATTAGAGATGTTAGAGATAGATATAGATAATTAGACAAAGAAAGATAATTAGGGATAGATCATTAGAGATAGATTTATAGATAATAGACATAGAAAGAGATAGATTTTAGATAGCTATAGAAAGATAATTAGAAATTATCAAAAGATAATATAGAAATAAAAAGATAGATATATAAAGATATTTAGTCAGAGATGATAGATGGATGGATGGATGCACATATAGATGGGTGGATGGGTGGATGGATGGATATAACAGAGCTTCTGAAATGAGTAATATAATATGTAATATAAATAATATAATAATAATAATATAATAGCTCACATTTATATTACATTTTATTTATATTATTTCTATTTTTACATATTTATATTATATTTATACATTTATATTTATTATATATTTATATTTATATTATACTTTAATGTTTGCAGAACACTTTTGATCCTCACAACAACCCTATGGAATTAGTACTATTACTATAACAGGATAGTCTTGAGCAGCCTAGTATAGGAAATTTAGTGCTGAAGAGACAACTGGGTTCAAATCCTGCCTCTGACACTGACTAACTGTGTTGTGTTGGGCAAGTCATTTAACCTCTTTGTGGCTTAGCCAATTCTCTAAGACTTACCTACTAGAAGCATAGAGGGATTGTGATGCTGGGGAAGGGAGTTTCCTGACACAGATGAAATCCTAGACGCTTGGCTTATTTGCCTGGGGAAGCAAGGATTGCATATGTGTTAGAAGAAGATTGCAATGATTTTGCTATATATACTTTCTTTCTGTATACTAAGAAACTGATTTACTAAGGGTTTTATAACCTTAAAACATGTGCAAGGGAATTATCAAATGGGTTTTTGTGAGTGTTCGTATGTGGTGTAGCCAAGAAGTAACAAATGTAACTGTTTCCACCAGCCATGCAAAAAAAAAAATCCCATTTTTATAGTCATACCATACACATGCATTAGAAATGTTCACAATATATGTAAGTGCATGTGTGTGATCTCCTTCTCTACTTCCAAAATCCTACTCCCACCCCTGCCATTTTTTTTGGTCTTCTAAAACCACATGATATCCATGTAGCCTAGTGATTGCAACCTTGGACCTCTTAAAACTGGCACTTCTACCTCCACTCCTTGCTATATAACTGAACAAGTCCCTCCCCTCATTAATCTTGGGTAGCCCAATGGACCTGGACATTCTACCTATAAAATATATAGAGATCCATCAGAAAAAAGTTGAGGTGGAACCTGACTGGTTTTAGATTCAGAAGAACAGATTATGAATCCTTGTTCTCACACTCAGTCCTAACCTGTGGTAGACCCCTCAGTGCTCATCTGATCAGCCACAGTTGGACACACTGTGCATGGACCCCAATGTAGTGATGTCATTTTGGTCCTCTTTGAGAGTGAAGGACAACAACCAACCAATTCACTTAGTTGCAAATCATCTGAGCCTCTCGATTTCTGTATCTGTAAAATAAGGGCAGGAGGACCTGAGTTCAAATCCGACCTCAGACACTTGACACTTACTAGCTGTGTGATCCTGGGCAAGTTACTTAACCCCAATTGCCTCACCAAAAAGCAAAAAATAAAATAAAATAAAATAAGGGGGGAATTGGAGGATCTTCTGCACCCAAGATCATACCCCTGTGATGGATGCTTTCATCCTAGCTTTCTCATCGCTTCCCACTCATTCTGGCTGCTAACCCCGTGTCTACACGCTCATTCAGTATCATGCTGTTCCTTTCTCACTTCCAGTAGAATCCTGTTAGTGGCCGTCTTTCTCCCACTCCACATATTAGTGTCAACATCATTGGTTTCTCTCTGTGAAAGGTTCAGTGTGTGTGTGTGCACTAACCTCTATGTACTCTATCCCTTCTGACCCTCCTCCCCGCTTCCCCATACCTGCCAACAGCTATGTATGCTGTGCGGAACCTGAGTCGACCCAGCCTCACGCAATATGAACTGGACAGTAAGTCTTCTTGTTTCTCCATTCTGATCTCTAAATTGAACCCCTCTTCTTCCTCAGTGGGTGCTCTTCTATTATTGGGCAGGGACTGGGGCTTCTCCTGAAACATGCCCACTGTTAATTGATTCCTGACTTGGGGAAAGAATATAGAGTAGAAACAGCCTTCTTTTGATGGAGAGGTGAGGGTGTGCAGGTGCAGAATGTTGCATACATTCGGATGAAATCACTATGTCTGATGGCTTTTGCACCACCAGGAAGGGAGGATTCATTGTGGGAGTAATAGTTTGATATGTCCAGAAACAACTGTGATGTAAAAACAAAGACATGAAATGTTATTTTTTTTGTGGGGGGGGAAGATATTGCTAAGACTTCCCTATTGCAGAGAAATGGAGGTAGGGAAGGAGGTACCATTCTACCACCAAAATGCTACAGCTAGCAAACCCTACCCCAACCCATTTCTACCACCACCACACCTATGCCTTTTCCCAACAAACATAAAAACCAGCAACTTTAAACCCATTGGAGATTTGTTTTATCGTGGAAATTCTCCTCCAGTCCTCCCTACCAAGTATGAACTAAAATATACAAACATGTACATATATACATACATACATACATACATACATACATACATAAACACACACATATCCTATCCCCTGATGAGATAGAAGACAAGAGAGATCAGGATAGTTGGGGGCTGGGAATGTTGGATACTGTGCAGTGTATTATCATACATATGAACCCACACTGATCAAGGGACTTGCCAAGCCTTAAGCTGTGTTTAACAATAGCATTTATCAGGGGACTCTCTGATATCTTCTGGTGCAAGCCTCATGTACTTGATCTTGGTTAGACCCCTTAGAGCAGGGGTTCTCATCATTTTTTGTATCCTGGACCCCTTCACTAGTCTGATGAAGCCTATGAACCCCTTCTCAGCATAATCGAAGGAAATGCTAACTTTTAGTTAGAGGGTAGTGAAAATAAAAAGATGTCATTTTTTTCCTCCTAAAATCTATCCACAGTCCCCTTGAGGGTCCATGGACCCCAGATTAAGAACCTCTGCCTTATGATTTGTTTATTCTGTACCGCAATATTGACATTGGGTCCAGAAATTCTCCCTGCCTCTCCATCCTCTCCAAGCTCCTCCTCCCACTTTGTAATGTCATAGCAATGACTTCTGAAGGCCAAGATTGACAGGGACGAATGGTCTCCAGTTTCAGACAAATGTCTGTTCCCTCTTCCTTTTAAACCTGCTTTTACTTATTGTTGTTTTTGTTCTTTAAAAAGTGTTAAGGTTAGGACCTGTTCACAGTTTCTATCTGGAAAAGCTACCCAGACATGTACATGGGGGTATTAAGGAAAAAGAATAAGGGAAACTTGGGGAACCCTGAGAGGGACTGAGACTCAGATTTTTGCAGGATCTCTAGGTGGGACAGTAGACACATAAGGAGCTGGTTGGTCCAGGCTGTGTTGGACCCAGTTCTAACCAGCTCTTGAAAGCCATTGTGAAATTTTCAGAGTGAGCATTTACACCTTGAAAATTGGCAAGCACTAAAAATCAGGGTTGGTTTTATTGTTTTGTTTCTTGTCAAGACTTAAGAAAATGAGGGGCAGCTAGGTGGCGCAGTGGATAGAGCACCGGCCCTGAAGTCAGGAGGACCTGAGTTCAAATCCAGCCTCAGACCAAACACTTGACACATACTAGCTGTGTAACCTTGGGCAAGTCACTTAACCCCAATTGCCTCACTAAAAAAAAAAAAAAAATTAAAGAAAAAGACTTAAGAAAATGATAAAGAAAATGTTAAAATGCCTATTAAACTTTAAAATGTGTCACAGCTATAATTCCTCTCCACCCCTGCCCCAGCCAGTTGTTAAACATTTACCAGCACATTCCTGTAGTTGGAGAAGAATATGAACCTTTAGAGTAGTCACTGTAGTGGGGTGATAGAAGAGGTAGGAGGGGGAGGCTATGCAAAGGCAAGGTGTGTCCAGAGAGAGGGAAGGCTATTCTCAGTTGCATGAGGCAGAAATGGACCCCCAGTGCTACTTTCACCCTTTGAGCTGCTGCCTCGGAGCTCAGGTCTACCCCTTTCTTGTCTCTACCCAAGCCAAAACCCATTCCCTGAGTGACCAGAGCGCACACACACACACACACACACACACACACACACACACACACACACAC